TGTTCAGATAGAGTGAGAGGGAGAGAGAGAGAGAGAGAAACATTGACGTGAAAGCGACACATCGAGTGGTTGCCACCCACACGACCCAACCAGGGCCGGGGACAAACTGCAACCAAGGTACGTGCCCTTAGCGGGAACCGAACCCGGGTCTCTCCGAACCGCAGGCCAACGCTCTAACCGCTGAGCCAAACCGGCCAGGGCTGTAATTGAGTCTTGATTGCTGTTGGCACTTCAATGGGAGGGATTTATTCAGGCTGATCAGCTGCAAGAACTGGCTGTGCCCACTGACCACTGGCCTCTGACTACCTTGGAGGATCAGCTGTGCAGGGGCCACCACACAGAGCAAGACTTACTTCATCAGGGCTCTGGTACCCACTGAGTCCACTCTTTGGGTGTGTCACTTGTGGAGGTGGTTGGGTGGTGGTGTTTTGATGTGGTCTGAAGCTGGCTCTGGGCCAAGGTCAGCCACTGCCTGTGTTCTATCCAGAGCCACCCGGCATAAGCTACAAAGCGATCTGCAGATTGCTTTTTGTGCTGGGCTTGGAGGTGCCCAGGAAAAGCCAAGTTGTGAACCAAGGCTGGCTGCTGCTAGTGCCAAGACTGGGCCACTTAACGAGAGGAATGGGGCTCGCTGAGACTAGATGCTGCTTGTTTGAGAGATTTTAGGAAAATATGAAGCAGGATCCAAGACAGGCCAATCCTATGGTAAAGCCTTTAGAGACAGCTTGGGTGGGCCTGAAAGTTGGGGGGGCGGGGGCCTCAGGGAATCACCAGGGCGGGGCAACCAGTGTGAGCCAGGTTGCTGGAGTCCCTGATATGGTGGCTGTCTGCCGCCCCAGGGAAGGGCTCACCAAAGGAACATCAGCCTCCACCAGCACCTCTGTCTAGAAGAAAGCTGCCTCTCTAGCCCCCGTCCCGAGGCCAAACATCTCAGTTTTTCCCTGTATGTTTCTGGTGCCCCTCAAGCTGCCTCCCCTCCAAGGTCAGAGAGAGCAAGTCCAAGTAAGTCCATGTATGGGCCCTTTAAGAAATGCTGCCTGGAGCTCCAGAAGCCGCAGCCTCCCTCAGCCTCTTCCTGCTGGTTTTACAGCCAGAAGTGATGGGGATTCTCTTCCTGCACTGGAACCCTGAGCTGGGCGCCTAGTGTGGGACAAGGACCCTCACTCCTCAGAGAAAACCTTCCCAGCCGAGGTGTTCCTCCATGTGGCTGCCTCTTTAGTTTTGTAGTTGTAGTACTTCCATTCAGCTCGATTTCAGGTGGTTCTGAATGATGGTTGTGTTGTAGTTTAGTTGTAATTTTGATGTGGTTGTGGGAGGAGGCGATACCGCATTTACCTACACCGCCATCTTGACCAGAGTCTCCAATTTTTTAAAAAATAAATATTTTTATTGATTTTTAGAGAGAGAGGAAGGAACAGAGAGTGAGAAAGATCAATCTGAGAGAGGAACATCTATCAGCTGTCTCCTTGCATGCCCCCTAATGGGGATCAAGCCTGCAACCCAGGCATGTGCCCCAACTAGGAATTGAACCAGTGACCTTTTGGTGTACTGGGTGATGCCCAACCAACTGAGTCACCCAGCCAGGATGCATCAAAATTTGGAGGCCTAAAGGAAAACCTTCACACTGGAGATAGCTAATTTGATTGTTAATTCTGGGTAGATGTTCTCTGGTGAGATAATTACAGTTTTTCCAAACAGGTCAAACAGTTCTAGTTAACTAGAACTAACAATTTTTTGTCATGAAGATTGTATGGCTCCAAATTGTTAACTATGATTATTTTTGAGATTTAGGAACAAGAGGTGGATGTTAAAAGAAAGTCTTTATCCTTTTACTCTATACACTTCCGTAACTTTTGAATTTTAAAATGTATATTTTTGTCACTTCAGAACAAAACAAAAGAATTAGGTTCGATGTAAATTGGAACCACTATACAGAGAATCAAAAAAATCAGTCTGAATTATCTGATTTTAACTGAATTTGAAAAAGACTGTCTGACATCATCTAACGACCAGGAGCCGACTTGCCATGTTGCAGCTGCCTGGCAGCAGACCACACGTCGACCTGCAGAAGCCGCTGCCGGGGCAGTGACGCTGGGAGTGGCCTCGCAGGTGGAGCAGGCCTTCCTCCAACAGGGAAACTCTCCGCGCCTTTCCCTTTCCCATAAACACACACAGTTCCTCTATTCTGTTGTGTTTTTAATATTTTTATTTTTTCAAAACTACCCATCAGCCCTGGCCGGTTTGGCTCAGCGGTTGAAGCGTCGACCTGCGGTCCGGAGAGACCCGGGTTCGGTTCCCGCTAAGGGCACGTACCTCGGTTGCAGTTTGTCCCCGGCCCTGATTGGTCGTGCGGTGGCAGCCACTCGATGTGTCCCTTTCACATCGATGTTTCTCTCTCTCTATCTCTTCCTCTCTCTCCCTCCCACTCTATCTGTACAAAAAATGGAAAAATATCCTCGGGTGAGGATAAAAAAAAACAAAACAAAAAAACTACCCATCATATATCGTTATTGTAAAATAATTTTTTTCAGGCAAAACAAATGTATAAACCTTATTCTGTTTGGAGTGTGGTTGTGTCCTTTCGGATTTGTTTTACATACACACATCCACACTTAATTTCAACTTCTATTTTTCATTTTTCGAGATGTAATTTACATGCCATAAAAGTATCATTTTAAAGTGTATGATTCCGTGTTTGTTTCTCTGTTTTTGTTAATCCTCACCTGAGGATATTTTTTTTCCAGATAGATCGGGAGGGAGAGAGGGAGGAAGAGAGAGAGAGAGAAACATTGACGTGAAAGGGACACAGCGAGTGGCTGCCTCCCCCACGACCCCAACTAGGGCCAGGGACAAACTGCAACTGGGGTACATGCCCTTAGCGGGAACCGAATCCAAGACTCTGGTCCACGAGCCGACGCTCTAACCGCTGAGCCAAACTGGCCAGGGCTCCATTAAAGAGAGTGGAAGGGAGGGTGGTGGGGAAGAGGCAGGGAGAGAGAAAGAGAAACATGGATGTGAGAGAGACACATCAATTGGTTGCCTCGTGCACCCAACCAGGGCTGGGGATTGAATCTGCATCCCAGGTACATGCCCTTGATGGGGATAAACCCATGACCCTTTGGTGTGAGGGCCAACACTTGAACCACTGAGCCACACTGGCCAGGGCTACAGTTCAGTGGTTTTTAATACATTCATAAAGTTGTGCAACAATCACTACTATCTAATTCTAGAACATTTCATCACCCTGAAAAGAAACCCTATACATACCAGCAGTTACCATTCCCTACTTCCTCCATCCTCACAACCACAAATCTACTTTCTGTCTCTATCGATTTGCCTATTCTGGACATTTCACTTAAATAGAATCATGCAACATGTGACCTTTTGTGCCTGACTTGTTTTTGGTTAATCCTCACCTAGGATATTTTTTTATTGGCTTTTTTTTTTTTTTTTTTTTTTTTTTTAGATAGAGTGGAAGGGAGGGGGAGAGAGAGAGAAAAAGAGAGAGAGGGAGAGAAAGAGAGGAAAACATCGATGTGAGAGAGACACATTGGTCGATTGCCTCCCACTCAACCCCAACTGGGCTGGGAATCAAACCTGCAACCCAGGTATATACCCTTGACTGGAATCGAACCTGCAACTCTTTGGTCTGTGGGCCAACACTGTTTGTTTTTTTTTCTAATCCTCATCCGAGGACATTTTTCCACTTTTTGTTCAGATAGAGCAGGAGGGAGAGAGAGAGGGAGGGGGAGAGAGAGAGAGAGAGAGAGAGAGAGAGAGAGAGAAACATCGATGTGAAAGCGACACATCTAGTGGGAGCCACCTGTACGACCCAACCAGGGCCGGGGACAAACTGCAACCGAGCCCTTAGCGGGAACTGAACCTGGGTCTCTCTGGACTACAGGCCGACTTCTAACCGCTGAGCCAAACTACAGCCAGGCCAATGCTCTAACCACTGAATCAAACTGGCCAGGCTGTGCCTGACTTTTTTAACTCAGTATAAGGTTTACAAAGTCCATCCATGTTGTAGCATGTACCGGTATTTTATTCTTTTTTATGGCCAAATAATATTCCATTGTATGGCTACAAACCACATTTTGTTTATCCATTCATCAGTTGATGGACAATGCATTGTTTCCAGTTTTCCTAATATGCATAATGCTGCTATGAGAATTTATGTATGTTTCTGTATAAACATATGTTTTCAATTCTTTTGTGCCCCTTGTCTATCCCTAGGACTTGCCAGGTCATATGGTAACTCTGTTTATCATTTCTCTTTTTTTGAGAAACTATCAAACTGTTTTCCACCATTTTACATCCCCACTGGCAAAGTACAAGGGTTTTAATTTCTCCACATTCCCACCCACACTTGTTATTTTCTTTTTCATTCTATCCATCCTAATGAGTGTGAAGTGATATCTTATTTTGGTTTGATATCCATTTTTCTAATGACTAATGATATTGAGCATCTTCCCATGTGCTTGGTGGCCATGTGTATATCATCTTTGGACAAATGTCTATTCAAATTCTTTGCCCACTCCAAAAATTGGGTTGTCTTTTTATTGTTGAGTTTCAAAAGTTCTTTTATATTCTAGATATTCTAGATATCCCATAACAAATATATAATTTTCAAATATTTTGTCTCATTCTGTGGGTATTATTTTTTATTTTTTAGAATCAAAATGAATGTCTAAATATACTGTTCTGTAACTTGCTCTTTTTTTTCACAGTGTATTGTGGGCATCTTTCAATGGTAAGAGAAAGCTATCCATTGTGGCTGTACCACAGTTGATTTGACCAGTCCTCTACTGAGCTTTAAAGAATCTTCAGTCCGTGTGTCAGTGAAAGACTAAGGTACAGCAGCTCTTGGTTACTGTGCTGTTTGCTTCTGGATGATTTGAAAAAGCAAGCAGGCCCAGGAAATATCTCTAACCAGCTGACACTTCCTCTCTGAACCCTTGCGGTTTCACAACCCCTACAACCCCTCCTTCACCACCACCTTGTGTCATCAGCCTGGTGCTTCTGTGAGAAAGTTCCACTGCAAGAGGCCCCAGAGCATTACCATTTCCCTCTTTCGCCCTGTCTGGGTTACCAGCAAATCCCAAGGGTCCTTGGAGACAACCTTGGTCAGGTCCCGCCAACTGCTTGAAAGATGAACTCATGCATCACTGTGATGAGGCTGCTGCTGTCTGGGCCTTTTCTCTTTGGTAAGCAAGGGAGGAGAGGAGGGGAAGGGACAGGTGTCTGTGAGCAGGGAACCACAAGGCTGTGGATCGAGAGCAAAGGAGGAGTTGTGCTAAGGGTGGTATTGGCCTTAGGTAATGCGGTGCCCAGGAATCTAGAGGGAGAGGAAGGCAAAGAAAGAAGGTCAGAGCCCAAAGCATAGGTGAAGTATGGAGAAAAGACAGAGAAGGGAGACAAAGATGGCAACAGTGAGAGACGAGGGAGTGGGACCCTAAAAAAGGCAGATGGTACTTGGTACCTAGAGCTGTGCTGGGGTCTGGTCCCGCCTATGGTACTACCTCTCTGTGCCATCTCAGGCAAGTCCTTTTCCCTTCTGGGCCCCAGTCTCTTCATCTGAACATGGTGGGCCTCATCTCTGACATCCTAGGATGCTGCGAAATAAGCCTGAGGCCTGGAAGGAGAGCAGGGCCAGAAAGGAGCTTGGGGCTTGCACAGGAGCTGAGGCTGCCTGAGATGGGGTGATAGGAGACCCACCAGTTAAAGAAGCGGGGAGTTAAAGATGGGGAGTGCATGAGAGGAGTGAGAGGCAGCTTCATGGGGATCAGGGGATCTTGAAACCATGAGCCTGTAGGAGGAAGCCTGAGGCTAATTATTTGAGTTCTCTGAGCGCCTGGGCCCCAGGCTCAAAGGAGAAACGAGTGTGTGGGGGAGACTCACCCTGCCTTGGGGCATCCCCTTCTCAGGGGGCCGCTTCTGCTCCTCTCTCACGGGCCTCTGTCTTCTCATCCTTCCTTTGTTGAGGCCAAATGGGAAGTTGTGTCCTTCCCAGGCCCTGGGGCTGCCAGAGATCTGGGCAGTAGGGAGTCGCTGCTTCCAAATTTCCCTGAGGCAAACACCCCACGGGAAAGTCCAGGGAGGCTGGTCCCAGCTCTGCCTCGGGTGTGGGCCACCTGGTCAGGAGGGAGCCCATCCCCTTGGGGCATGTGTAGCCAATCAGTGGGCGGGGCGCGCAGTGGGCGGGGGAGGTTCCTGGCCAGAAGTGACCTATGTGCTCGTTGTCTCCCTCAGCCCTGGCCTCCAGCTACAACCTGGACGTGCGGTATGTGCAAAACTTGTCCTTCCCACACGCCGGGAGGCATTTTGGGTACCGTGTCCTGCAGGTTGGAAACGGGTGAGCTGATGCCCCAGGTCTTCCCTGCCCTGCAGAGCGTGGGTCGAGGCCCCCCATGCCAGTCCTGGGGCTGGCCAGGTCTCAAGGAGTCTGTGCTGGGATTTCTCATAAACAGGAGCAAGTCCATCAGTTGGTAGGATGAGGACCATCCACTGCTAAAGCGCCACATAAGCGAAATAGAAAGGGAAACATCGGAGCCCCTAAAGCTCTTGGCAATGCTTCCTAGGTTCCTGAGTCTCCCCCCGACTGGACAGTGAGCTCCTTTCCCCTCGCCTAGCACATAATAGCTATGCCATAAATGACTTTTGAATTGATGGCTAGTTGAATGGACTTATAATGTAACATTCTGGCATATTCTCTGGGCCTCAGGTTTTCTAGACTGTAGGTGGAAAAAATCCTTAACTTTCTAGAATTCTGGTGTATTAGATTATTTATCTGGAATTCAATAGTGAAGAAATAGATGGGGCCTGAAGGAGAATGGCTGCATTGCTTTGAGGTACCTGGTGGGGGATAAGAAACCCCTTATGAGGTATGAGTGGGTAGGTGAAAATCTGGGTAACTCCATCTCACAAGTGAGATTTCTCATCAGGGTTGTCGTGGGAGCTCCAGGCGAGGGGAGCAGCCCAGGAAGTCTCTATCAGTGCCAGCCAGACACTGGGCGCTGCCTGCCAGTGAGCCTGAGTGGTGAGTAGCTGATGAGGGAGCTGGGAGGAGTTGTCTCAGGGAAGCGGAGGCTGGCCCCACCACACCTGGATTGCCTAAAGTCCTGCACATCAATCTTATGGTGCCTACAGGTTCCAACTACACTTCTAAGTACTTGGGAATGACCTTGGCGACAGACCTCACAAATGGAAACCTTTTGGTAAGAATTTTATGTAGTGTGATATCAGTCTATGAAGCTCGATGCTAGGAAACAGATTGAAAAAAAGGAAGAAAAAACTGGATTAAAGATCCTATAGAAGGCCCTGGCCAGTGTGGCTCAGTTGGTTGGAGCATCATCTGTGAACCAAAGGGTTGCAGGGGTTGAATTCTGGTCAGGGCACATACCCAAATTTCAGGTTCCATCCCCAGTGGGGCATGAACAAGGGACAGCTGATCGGTCTCTCTCTCTCTCTCTCTCTCTCACTCCCCCCCCCTCTAAGAAATCAATAAGGAAACATATCCTTGGATGAGGATTAAAAAAAAAAAAAAGAACCCTGGCTGGTTTGGCTCAGCGGTTAGAACGTCGGCCCGCAGACCAAAGAGTCCCGGGTTTGGTTCCCGCCAAGGGCAAGTACCTCGGTTGCAGTTTGTTCCTGGCCTTGGTTGAGGCTGTGTGGGTGGCAACCAGTCGATGTCCCTCTCATGTCGATGTTTCGCTCTCTCTCTTCCCCCCTCTCTACCTTCCTGCTCTATCTGAAGATTAATGCAAAAAATGTCCTTGGGTGAGGATGAAAAAAAAAGATCCTGTAGAAAATTAGAGGCGTCAGAGAGATTCAAAGTCAATCCTTTTTTTTTGAGAACAAATTATATACCAGCTATTTTCTTTTTTTTTTTATCCTCACCTGAAGACATGTTTTCATTTTTTGTTCAGATAGAGTGGGAGGGAGAGAGAGGAAGAGAGAGAGAGAGAGAGAGAAACATCGACATGAAAGGGACACATCAAGTGGTCGTCACCCTCATGACCCAACCAGGGCCGGGGACAAACTGCAACCGAGGTACATGCCCTTAGCGGGAACCGAACCCGGAACTGTCTGGACCACAGGCCGATGCTCTAACTGCTGAGCCAAACTGGCCAGAGCTATCCCAGCTATTTTCAAGACCTTACTTACCTTTTTCCAAATATTAAATGTAACAATTGATATACAAGATGATTTTTTGGTGGTATACAAACTCAATTTTTTGTTGTTGTTAATTCTCACCCGAGGATATTTTTTCCATTGATTTTTAGAGAGAAGGATGGGGTGGGGAGAGAGAGAAAGATTGATGTGAGAGAGACACATCAATTGGTTGCCTCCTGCACGGTCCCAACTGAGGCCAGGGATTGATCCTCCAACCCAAATACGTGACCCTGATGGGAATTGAACCCATGGCCCTTTGGTGTGTAGGGCCCACACTCTAACCACTTAGTCACACTAGCCAGGGCACAAACTTAATGTTTTAATACTTATATATTTATTCAGTAGATTAGTAGAAAAAATATAGAACAAGCACATCAAATTCATGATTTCATAGATTGCATTGCTTAGGATGAGGCTAAAGTTTTTTTTAAGTAAATAAAATATTAAGTAAATAATAGTATGACTGTTATACCATATGGCAGAAATTGTAAAGCAGTTCACAAATGTTTAAAGTTTGAAAAACACTGCTTTATCTCTTTTAACCCTCAAGACAGTCAGGTGAGTTAAGGATTAGTATTCACCTTTTACTTGTGAGGAAACAGGCTCAAAGGGGAGAGACTTGGCCAAGGTCACATGGTTTTAAAGAGGTAGAGCCAGGATTTGAATCAAATACCCACTTGATTCCAAGTCCATTGCTCTTTACAATTTATCCCAGCAGCATCCAACAGCTACATGAGAAATAGAAGACTGACTGAAATAACGATCCGTATTTAACTGGAGCTTGTTTACTTGGCTACTAATATATGCTAAGCAGTATCCTAGGTTATGATGAGAGAAGGGGAATGAGATACAAAGATGACCGTGACGTGGGTCCTGACTTTTAAGAAATTGCAGTGTAGGCCTGTCCAGTTTGGCTCATGGTTAGAGCATCATCCCTCAGACCACAGGGTCTTGGGTTTGATTCCCGGTCAAGGTCATGTACCTGGGTTGCAGGTTCAATCCCCGGCCCCAGTTGGGGTCCAGAGGCAATCAATTGGTGTGTCTCTCTCACATCAATGTTTCTCTCTCCCCCCACCCTTCCACTCTATCTAAAAATTGATGAAAAATATTCTTGGGTGAGGATTAATAAAAAAAAGAAAAGAAAAGAAATTTCAGTCTGGCAGGAAAAATAGTCACAAATGAAAGGAACACCGCTGTATATTCTGGGAATAGTGAGTAATTTGATTTGGCTTAAACACAGAATGTGTGATTGGGGATGGAAGGGGATGGGCCTGAGAATGTAGCATAGTGTCCAACTGTAAACAATATGAGTGCCAAACCAAGGATTTTAGATATTATCCTCTAGGCAGTGGAGCACCCACTGGCATAGAGCGTTGGTAATAGGGATGGAGATACTGGTATAAGAAACCGAGAGGCAGAATTACCTTGGCTTGGTAACCACCTGGATATAAGGAGTGAGGTCAGAGGATGATGACTCTGAGGGTTTTGTTCTTGGTTGATGATACTCAAAATACACAGCAAAGGGAAGCTGAAACCCTTTTATCTTTGCTTCCTTCAGGCCTGTGACCCTGGGCTGTCTCGGACATGTGATCAGAATATCTACCTAAGTGGCCTGTGTTATCTCTTCCACGAGAATCTGAAGGGTCCTGTGCTGCAAGGGCGTCCTGGTTATCAGGGTAAGAAGCTGGGGGTCCGGTGGGTAAACATACCTCCGAGTGGCTACCCATTCATGGGTACCAGCACGGGCAGGCCACCACCAGAGACACTTTACCAAGTCACTTTGTGTCTGGCTCCTGTAGAATGTCTAAAGGGCAACGTAGACCTGGTATTTCTGTTTGATGGCTCAAGGAGCTTGCAGAAACATGAATTTCAGAAAATTGTGGACTTCATGAAGGATGTGATGAAGAAACTCAGCAACACTTCCTACCAGGTAAATATATTAGTTAGGATTCGTGGTTATAGATAATACATGCCTACCCAAACTAGCTCAAGGCATAAAAGGAAAATTTAGTATGAGGTGTCTCCAGAACCTAAAGACATGGCTATAATTGTACCTCTAGAAGGGACAAGAACCAAGGAATAGAAAGCTTCTAGAATTTTCTCTAGTTCTTATTTCTGTTTTTATTTGACTTTTGCTTCCCTTTTCTCTCTCTCTGTAGAATGGCTCCTCCAGCTTTTTTGGATCACATGGGCCTTTGGAAAGCTCTTAAACTCACATGTTAAAGTTTCAAGAGGTGTTTTTTTTCTTCGTGTGTTTGGTGTGTGTGTGTGTGTGTGTGTGTGTGTGTGTGTTTAATCTTTCTCTCAACCAACCCTTCCTCGCTGTAAATTCCAAATTCTCAGGGAAAAATGTTATTACTGGCCTAGCCTCAGTAAAATGGCTGTCTTTGGTCCAGCCAACTGTATCTTATTTAGCGGGGTAACTCAGCAGAAGTATGGCTACTGGGAACCATTTCTGTTGGTGAGGTAGAAAGACCCAGAGAACAGGAGTTTAGCAGACAGCATTACATAAAGAGTCAGAGGTTTATTTAATTTTATTTTTGTATTTGTTTATTTTCAGAAGAATGGTTTGAGGCAGGGAGGTGAAGTTGGCTTGCCCAGGTCCCGGACAGGAAGTAGAGATTGGAGCAAACAAGAAGGGATATATAACATTTCATTTCTTCCTTCTTCTTATAGTTTGCTGCTGTTCAATTTTCCACGACCTACAAAACAGAATTTAATTTCTTGGATTATGTTAAACTGAAGAACCCTGATTTTCTACTGGGCAAAGTAAAACACATGGGCCTGCTGACCAACACCTTCGGTGCCATAAACTATGTCGCGTGAGTTCCCTTTTGCAGGAGAGAGCCCGCCCTTCAGTTGTCCTTTGCGCACTAGTTTCTTCGAGTTGGGCTGTAGAACTGTAGGCGGGTTCAGCAAAGGGCAGGTTCTTGTCAGAAATCAAGTGGAGCAATTTCTATCCAGGTTCTGGATTGTAAGTAACCGAAATTGATTTTATACTGACTAAATCCCAAAGGGATGCTACAGGGACAGCTCACCAGCCTCCAGGACAGGAGTATTGCTAGGCCTCATGAGGGATGAGAACCAGGACTTGGAAAGTGATTGTGAACCATGGCAGCTACAGCAGCTCCACTTCTTAGATGGAGATCGGCTTTGAAATCAGTGTATGAACAAAAATCTCAAATAGTCAAAATTATCCTTGAATTGTTCATAAAATTCAATATATTCAAATCCCACAGTGGAAACTAGCATACCTTGATTTCCTAAATTTACTACAGAAAAAAGTTTTCCCCAGAGTTGGATAAGATTGCTGTGTTTATTTATTTATTTTTGTTAATCCTCACCCGATAATATTTTCCCATTAATTTTTAGACAGAGTGGAAGGGAGGGAAGGGTAGAAAGGGAAAAAACAACAACAACAACGTTGATGTGAGAGAGACACATCAATTGGTTGCCTCTTGCAGGACCAGGTCGAGGATCAAACCTGCAACCCAAGTATGTGCCCTTGACTGGGGATCAAACTCGGGACCCTCTGCTCTGAGGGCCGATGTGCTAATCTCTGAGCCAAACCAGTCAGGGCCAGATTTCTGTGTTTAAATTGAGGCCTAAATGAACATAGTTGGATTGTATGGAAGGACCATGTTGTATATTTTATAATACCTCTTTTTAAACATTAGACTGGCCATGGAAACTGAGACCCATCTGAGGACTAAGAGAATTATACCTCCTATCCCATGCTCCCCCTGGGTATACACTTGAGTGAAATAGCCTGAAGGAGCTCCTGTACTTTTACACTTATTTCTCTTATTTTCATTTCTTTTCAAGTATATAGAGTTGAATTTGCATACGTGAACCATGCATGTGGTACATCTCAAGGCTCTGCATGTATGTTTCCAGCTCTTTTCTTCTTGAGTTCACTTGACCTGCCATGTACACTTCATTCTCTTCTCTCTGTAGACAGCTTTGCTGGGTACACAGTCAAGAGATGTCCACTGAAAAAATGGCAGCCTCGCCCAGCCGGTGTGGCTCAGTGGTTGAGCATCGACCCATGCACCAAGAGGTTGCTAGTTGAATTCCCAGTCAGGGCACGTGCCCAAGTTGTGGGCCAAATCCCCAGTGGGGGGCATGCAGGAGGTGGCCAATCCATGTTCTCTCTCATCAGTGTTTCTCTCTGTCTCTCCCTCTCCCTTCCGCTCTCTAAAATAAAAAAAATAAAAAAAAGACAGCCTCAGTTTCCAAACTGAATCCCAGCTTCCAGACAAGAAAATAATTGGCCAAACCTGGCTTAGGTGTCCACAGGTCCACCCAGCTGTGGCCTTGGCCTACTTGATGATGTAGAATCACATGGCACAAACATGGATTCTGAAGTCCTCCATGGGAAGGGGGCAGTTCTTAGAGAAAAGGGTCACTGCAGGATGGAAAGACACCCCAAAAGGTGTCAACTGTGGGAGCAAAAGGGGACAGTCATGGAAATGTATTTCACAAATACTTCTTGACTTTCTGGCTGTGTGACAGGCAGTGTTCCAGATTAGGATTTGGCAAATTTTTTCTGTAAAGGGCCAATTAGTAAATAGTTTAGGTTTTCCCGGTCACATACAGTATCGTTGCATATTTTTCTTTGTTTGTTTTTATAACCCTTTGAAAATAAAAATATAAAAAACCATTTTTAGCTCACGGACCCTATGAAAAGAAGCTGTGGGCTGGCTTGGGCTGGCAGGTGGGTGCTTGCCATGTTCCAGGGCCTGGCACTATAGCAGTGAGTACAGCAAAGGAAAATCTCTGCCCTCTTGGACCTTGACTTCCTAGTAGGGGAGAGAAATGCAATCAACAGGATGCATAAGTAAATTAGATAATACAGTAGAAGATATAACTTGGATTAAAAAATAAAGCAATACGCAATAGGACGCTCAGGGAAAGTTACATTTGAGCAAAGACTTGGAGGCGAGGAAGCGAGCCACGTGGACGCCTAGGGGAAGACCATCCCAGGCAGAGGGAATAGCAAAGCGCCTGAGATGAGAGCTTGGATGTCCCGAGAACAGCCAGGACACCAGTGTGGCTGAAGAGAAGTTAGTGAGAGGAGAAAGACGTGGGAAAGGAGGGTATCTGGATGGTTTGGAGACCATTGTGAGGACTTTGGCTTTTATTCTGAGTAAGATGAGAAATCATTGGAGGTTTTGAGCAGAGAGGTGATAATCTGATTTATGTTTTTTAAAAGGATTTCTGTGGCTGTAGGGTTGACATTAGACTGTGGAGGGGGCAGGGATGGAAGCAGGTACACCAGTTAGGAGACTATTGAAAAATCCAGATGAGAGATGACGGTGGTTTAAATTGGGGTGGAAATCCAGGAACAGGACCCATGACAGGCCATGTCTGTGGGGATGGAGGTTAAAGAAATGCTTGCATCACAGTAGAACTTGAGGTTGTGACAGCAGGTGTTTAGGCCCTGCCCATGAGAGCTCCTCTGTTTTGGGCAGCTTCCAAGTAACTTTTCAGCCCTCCTCTCTGTATCTGTCCTTCACCTCCCACTGTGGCCTCTCCATGTGGCTTTCAGCTTCCACTCCCAAGGCAGGTCGTGTCATAGTCAGACTGCCCTTGGATTAATTGTCCATCTCTGGTTGCTGTGGGGTGGGGAGAGAAGGAAGGATCGGATGGTTCAAATACAACTGTTATCCTAGCAAAGGCTGTGAGCAACCTATCTGGCTTCATGAGGAGGCTATGGGCAGGAGTCTGGAGCCTTGGCCTGGTCAGTGTTCAGTCCTTCTGTTCTATTACTTCACACTCACTGAGCACCTGCTCTGTGTCAGCAGCCAGAGATACAGCAACAAATCAAACATGGCTCTCCCCTTCGGGAACTCAGGTTGCAAGAGTTTGGGGGGAAATTGACACAGAAATAAGTCACTTCAGTTCCCTAGGAGACTTGATGTACCAGAGATCTATAGGCAGCCTGGGGCTGGTAGGGGTGGCAGAGACAGTGCTATATGAGCTTGCTCTGGACAAGTGACTTTCCAGTTTTTTTTGGCCATGGAACCCTTTCTTTTTTTTGGTACATGCCCCTAGTGGGAACCGAACCCAGGACTCTCTGGTCCACAGGTCGATGCTCCAACCGCTGGGTCAAACCAGCCAGGGCTGGAACCCTTTCTTTTCCCATCGAAATCTCACCTAAACCACTAGCATATCTGATTAAAGAGGGTTGAAATGGAGAGTAGGAAGCCCAGAATCTTCCCTCACAAAACCTCCCCCTTCCCACCCGTGGACTCTGGGACAACGTCCTGACCACCGGAATTCGGTTGAGGATGCTGGCTGAGAAGGAGGGGTGTGGAGCAAGGGCACGGCCGGAGGTTCAGAAGAGAACTTGGAAGGCTGAGAATAGCTGGCTGGGGATGTGAGAAGGACTTCTGCATCATCAGCAGGGCAGTGATTGAATAAGAGGGGTTGAGCGGGGGAGACGTCATATGATTTGGGGAGAGTCTTTCACATTCCTCTTTCCTGAACACAGGACCCAGGTATTCCGGCAGGACCTTGGGGCCCGGCCAGATGCCACCAAAGTGCTTATCATCATCACTGACGGGGAAGCCACTGACAGTGGCAACATTGCCGTGGCCAATGACATCATCCGCTACATCATTGGGGTATGGGCTCTAGGCCCCAGGCCTCTGCCTTCTTCCTACATCTCATCTTCCCTCTCCTGTTCCCAAACCCTACTCCTCTTTCTGCTTGGGGCCAGGTCTTGTGAAAAGAGCAGAACCTTGGTCTGAGATGCTGGGGATGTCAACGCTTCCCTCTTCTCTCCCTCACAGGTCGGAAAGCACTTTGCGACCAAGAAAAGTCAGGAGACACTCCATGAATTTGCCTCAAAACCTGCAAAAGAGTTTGTAAAAATTCTGGACACATTTGAGAAGCTCAAAAATCTGTTTACTGAGCTGCAAAAGAAGATCTATGTCATTGAGGGTGAGTGGCAGACCCCGGGGAGAGAGTCCCAGAGATCACATACAGCAACTCTTCTGGGATATTAGGTTAGAGAAACACGGAACGTAGAATGAGCACTCTCAGTACCTGACTCCCTGCTACGAGTGCTCCTGACAAAAGACCTCAGGTTGGAATTTAGGAGAGGGTGGTTTAGGAGCAACCTCTCTTCCCTCTGAAATTCCATCTTGCTCTTAAAGGTTAGCTTGGTCTAGGCTGGGGCCCAGGACTGACCGCTAGCTTACTGGTGTCAGCTGAACCCTGTAGAATGACTATAATGCCTTCCTCCTCCCTCAGTTCCCTCATTTTCACTTATCCTAGGCCTCAAATTACTTAAGATGGGCTGGGGCCAATTTCAGGTAGCCCATAGGTCCTCTTCCTTGGTCCAGAATAAGAAGATGTTGATTGGCATCACCAGATGGAGGACTAGCCATGGGAGGGTATTTCTCCAGGAGGCTTAGTCTGTTGGAAGGTATATGGTTCCCACAGGGGAGGCCCCTTGGCTTGGGACACAGCCTTGGTATTCAGTTTAGCACTTTGGTGGCATCTGCCTGGCCCCACGTCTTGCTGGAATACCTCAGCCCTGTGTCCAGGAAGGGCAGTGTGAGAGTTCAAGAGCAGTGTGGGGTTTATAGTAGAACCAGGCAGACCCGCTCAAGAATCCACTCTGGCTCTGCTGTGTGACCTCAGCCAGGTCATCTTCCCTCTCTCTGAGGCTCCCTGTCCTCTGTTAAATGGGGATAACAACACCAGTCTCACAGGATTGTAAGGTTTAACTGCTGTATTAGTTTAGATCTGCTATAACAAAGTACCAAAAACCGGTGGTTAAAGCAACAGAAATGTATTGTCTCATAGTTCTCTAGAGGCTAGAAGTGAGAAATCAAGGGGTCAGCAGGGCCATGCTCTTTCTGACAGTTCTAGAAGAGAATTCTTCCTTGCCTCTTCCGCTTCTGGTGTTTGCTAGCAGTCCTTGGCGTGTACTGCATCATGCCATTCCCGTGGCTGTCTTCTCCCTGTGTGTCCCCACGTCATCTTCTCTCTGTGCGTGTCTGTCTCTGTGTCCAAATTTCCCATTTTACGGGGACATTAGTCATATTGAATTGGGGCTCACCCTAATGACCTCATTTTAACTTGATTAATTCTTAAAGATTGTATTTCCAAATAAGTCCCATTTGGAAATACTAGAGGTTAGAACTTCAATATACCTTACCCTGGCTGGTTTGGCTCAGCAGTTGGAGCGTCGGCCTGCGGTACAGAGAGACCCGGGTTCGGTTCCCGCTAAGGGCACGTACCTCGGATGCAGTTTGTCCCCGGCCCTGGTTGGTCGTGCGGGTGGCAGCCACTCGATGTGTCCCTTCACATCGATGTTTCTCTCTGTCTCTCTACCTCTCTCTCCCTCCCACTCTATCTGAACAAAAAATGGAAAAATGTCCTCGGGTGAGGATTAAAAAAAAAAAGAAGAACTTCAACATATCTTTTTTAGAAACACAATTTAGCCCCTAACAACTACTTAGCAAATTGGTACCTTGTAGGCACTCACTGAGTCTAGCTCTTATTATTTGTAGCCCTATTCTCTCTCCTGACCTACCCTTACTCAGCAGTCAGGTCTCAGTTCAGAGGTCACTGCCTCTGACAAGGTCTCACTGATCCCCAAGTCTGGGCGAGGGGTTTCTTCTGTAACAGCTCTGTGCCTACTCAATGTCTGCTTCCCACACTGAACTGTGAAGTCCATCATGGAAAGAGTTGTGTCCGCTTCTTCTCCATTGTATCCCTGGCACAATGATGAAAAGGCAGTGAATGAGGAAAGGCAGTGAAATAGTCATAATAATTACTATTTCTTGCACTTTATTGATATGATTTCATTCATTCCTCTCAGTGTCCTTGCAAGGCTGGTGGCATTATTTTCATTTTCATGCATGCTTGCAACATCCATTACCATGCTCCAAGGACAACACACTCAAGGATGTTGCCAAAGTCGAGTTCATGTTCAAGTTGGATAGAGACAGTAAACTATAGATAGGTTTTTCAAGGAAAACACCTTTTTTTTTTTTGGTGGAAATAAAATTCACCCTGACATTACTTTTGAGCTGAGACATGAAAGACGAGACTCAAACAGCCATGTGAAGAATGTGGGCAAAGCATGTTCCAGGCAGAGAGAAGAGCAAGGGCTATGGCCCAGAGAGGGGAGGGCTTGGCCTGGTGGACGAACAGAAAGAGGGGTCAGTGAAGGGAGCGTGGTGAGCAAGGGACAAGGATGGTTGGAGAGATAGGCAGGGACATTCGAGATCCTAATAGGACTTTGAATTTTGGTCTAAAGAGCAATGAGGAGTAATGAAGGGTTTTTTAAGAAAGGGAAAGATGTGATCTGATATATGTTTAAAAAATATATATATTACTCTGGCTTGCTCATGGAAAAAAGGCCCAGAAAAAGGAAGAATGGAGTCAGAGACCAAATCAGTAAGTTTCTGCATTGGTCAGAGAAGAGATGAGATTGGGTTGGAGTAGTGTGGTGGCAACACAGACAGTTCAGGTGTATTTTGAAGGCACAACCAACATGATTTAGTGATATGTTGGAGATAGAACAGGGGGACCAGGAAGAATCCATGCTTATTCCTGGGTTTTTAACATGCTTCACGAGGTAGACGGGGAGCCGTCTGTTGCATTAGAGAAGTCTGAACAGGAACAGAAATTGAGTGTGCATCTTAGACATGCGGATTGCAGGCACTGGATACCATCTGTGTCCATGGAGACTCAGAATGTGAGCCACTTCCCAGTCTGTCATGCTCTTTCTACCTTGCAAATTCTGTGCTTCTCCCTGTGTCCTTTCATGAATATCACTGTTTTTACCACTCCTTGAGTCTCGGCCTGTTCTCCTCCCCTTGTCCCTTAGGCACAAGCAAGCAGGACCTGACATCCTTCAACATGGAGCTGTCCTCCAGTGGGATCAGCGCTGACCTCAGCGGGGTGAGTGGCCGGCCTGGAGCAAGGGGCCAAGGGATGTTGTGGGGCTGCCGCTGACCCTGCTCTGACCCTGCCTGTCTCCTTTCCTGGGCAGGGCCATGGCATCGTGGGGGCAGTTGGAGCCAAGGACTGGGCTGGGGGCTTTCTAGACCTGAAGGCAGACCTGCAGGATGATACGTTCGTGGGGAATGAACCACTGACACCAGAAGTGAGAGCAGGATATCTGGGTGAGTGCTTCTCTTTTATGCTCGGGTTTGGGGGTTTGAGGGGCCAGAGAGTCACTCAGACTGACTTTCAAAAAAATAAATAAATGAGCCCTGGCCAGTTTGGCTCAGCGGTTAGAGCGTCGGCCTGCGGTCCGGAGAGACCCGGGTTCAGTTCCTGCTAAGGGCACGTACTTCGGTTGCAGTTTGTCCCCGGCCCTGGTTGGTCGTGCGGGTGGCAGCCACTCGATGTGTCCCTTCACATCGATGTTTCTCTCTCTCTCTCCCTTCCACTCTCTCCCTCCCACTCTATCTGTACAAAAAATGGAAAAATATCCTCGGGTGAGGATAAAAAAATAAAAAAATAAATAAAATAAAATAAAATAAAATGAAAACAATTAAGCAACCAGCATGAACAAACTCAGAGTTTAAATATGGTTATAGCATTCATGCCTTGGCCAGTTTGGCTCAGCAGTTAGAGACTCGGCCTTCAGACCAAAGAGTCACAGGTTCAATTCCAGTCAAGGGCACGTATCTCAGCTGCGGTTTGATCCCCAGCCCTGGTTGGGGTCGTGTGGGAGGCATCCAATCAATGGGTCTCTCTCACATCGATGTTTCCCTCTCTCTCTCTCTCTCTCTCTCTCTCTCTCTCTATCTCTCTCTCTCACCCTCCCTCCTTCCCACTCTATCTGAAAATGGGAAAATATCCTCAGGTGAGGATTAAAAAGAAAATTAAATATGGTTATAACATTCTTAACTTTTCCCTTAATAACCCCTCAACTGGGTATTCATCGTTATTTTATGTTCTGTGTTTTATGGGCCTTGATATCTCGGGGCCTTGCTAGCTCTGGAGGGACCACTGCTCCCAGGGCCAGCTCATTGCTCCGTAGAGCAGACAGCACGCCTGTGAGCAGGCCTCGCACTTGCCAGACAGTGAATCCAGAGCCTGGAGCCCCAACCGCCCTCTCTATCTAACTTTCGTAAACCAGGCCAACATTCCCCCTGACCTAAATCACCCCAGGGCCCGCATTAAACACCTAAAGATCACCCCTGTAGCCCAGAGCCTGCCAACAGTGTTCAAACTGTCCAATCCTAAACTTGCTCAAGTTTGCCTACCCTGCCTCTCGTTCCTTCCCTCAGAGACCACAACACAGGCTCTAGGCCATACCCGCCCCTCCCTCCTCCTGCCCCCTCCCGCCCCTACTGATGTCGCTGCTTCCCCCTTGTGGCCCTGCATGGCCTGCCTGCTGCTGCTTTGGGGAGCTGAGAGTAAAAACTTCTTTCTGACCCCTTTGTGTTGTCACTTGGTCATACCTCTAAATTAAATCCCAGGTACATTTTTTTTTTTATCCTCACCCAAGGACATTTTTCCATTTTTTGTTCAGATAGAGTGGGAGGGAGAGAGAGAGAGAGAAACATCGACGTGAAAGGGACACATCGAGTGGCCGACACCCGGGGACAAACTGCAACCGAGGTACGTGCCCTTAGCGGGAACTGAACCCAGGTCTCTCGGGACCGCAGGCCGATGCTCTAACCGCTGAGCCAAACTGGCCAGGGCTTTTTAAATGTTTTAAATTGATGTTTTAGAGAGAGGAAGGGAGAGGGAGAGAGAGAGAGAAACATCAGTGAGAGAAGCATCAACATTGATTGGCTGCCTCCCTACTGAGAGATCGAGCCTGTGGCTGGGAATCGAACCAGTGACCTCTTGGTGTATGGGTCAATACTCAACCACTGAGCCACACCAGCCGGGCCCCAGGTACATTTTAAAACAGGCTGCCTCGTTAGTAGGAGGACCAGCAGCATCGCCGAGGCTTCCTTCTGTTGAATTGGCCGGGAGCTCCAGGCTGACTCAGTCTCCAGAGTTCCTCAGGTGCCAGGCACAGAGGAAAGCAGTGTGGTTACCCACAATGGCTGCCGTGCGCCTCTGCCTCCTGGTGCCACTGCTGCAGCCTTGTCCGGCCCAGTTCTGTAGGTGCTCGTCTACTCAAGGGGATGGTAGTCTCAGGCTACAGAGGGGTCTCACCGTATGTTCGGAGGCTATAGCCCTTTTAGTTCACATTCATGTAGTCAGCCTGTCCCAAGGCACAAACTGGCTCCAAGAGCCCTGGGAAGGACTGCTTCCAGGTTCTGCCTTCTCAGAGGTGGAGAACCACCCTGCCGCATCCAGGGTCTCTGTCTAGGGGATGGGCCACTCCTTTACCAGACAATCAAAACTAGGATCTTATTAAGTTATTTCCTCGGGAAAGTTGGTGCTATTCATCTGGCATTGACCCTTCTAAGGGAGGCTGCCTCAGTGATTTGTTTCTTTTTTTGACGTTCTTTACTGAGCAAGGCACTGTTCTAAGTGCATGACACGTATTAATGTATTTGATCTTCAAAACAACCCTGTGAGTAGGTATTTTTATTATCTCTAGTTTACAACTGAACAAACTGGAGAGGTTAAATCAGTTGCCCAGGGTCTCAGAACTGGTGGTGCAGCCCAGGCAGTGCCCTGAAGTACCTACACCAGCGCCTTCAAGGTGGTTTGTTTGTCCTTCAACATCCTGTAAAATAGCTGACAATGTCTCTCACTAAAGAAGAAGAAATAACTTCAAAATGTAATGTCTAGTTAAGCACTCACCCCACTGCACACACACATACACGCATGTACAAGTATATGAATAAAGTATGAATACATATAATCTGTAGTGCCTATTATGCTACTATCCTTTAGATCTTAGTTTAGATATCTCTAGCATAGTGCTAAGCATTTTATAGCAATGGTCTTATTTACTCCTTAAAACCACCCTATAAGGTTGGTTCTATCCCCATTTAAAAAAAAATTCTAACCCAAGGATATGTTTTCATTGATTTTTAAATTACTTTTTTTTTTTTAATTCTCACCTGAGGACATTTTTTCATTCAGATAGAATGGAAAGAAGAGAGAGAGAAACATCGACACGAAAGAGACACATCGAGTGGTTGCCTCCCGCACGACCCAACCAGGGCCGGGGACAAACTGCAACCAAGGTACGCGCCCTTAGCGGGAACCGAACCTGGGACTCTCTGGACCACAGGCTGACGCTCTAACCGCTGAGCCAAACCGGCCAGGGCTGTTTTTATTGATTTTTAGAGAGAGAAAGATCAATTGGTTGCCTCCTGTATGTGTCCCCCAACCGGGGATGGAACCCTCAACCTAGGTTTGTACCCTGACTGGGAATCAAACCCACAACCTTCTGGTGCAGGGGATTATGCTCCAACCAAGTGAGCCACTCAGCCAGGGTTATCCCCATTTTTTTTCGATGAGAAAACTGAGGCTCAGCAGCTAGAAAGTAGTAACACTGGAATTAAAACCTTGTCTCTCGCCCAGCCAGTGTGGCTCAGTGGCTTGAGCATGGTCCCATGGACTGAGAGGTCCCGGTTTGATTCCTGGTCAGGGCACATGCCCGAGTTGCAGGCTCGATCCCCAGTAGAGGGCGTGCAGGAGGGAGCCAATGGATGTATCTCTCTCACATCGATGTTTCTAATTCTCTTTCCCTTCCTCTCTCTCTAAAAAAAATCAATAAAAACATATTTTATTTTATTTTTTTTTATTTATTTATTTTTTTATCCTCACCCGAGGATATTTTTCCATTTTTTGTACAGATAGAGTGGGAGGGAGAGTGAGGAAGGGAGAGAGAGAGAGAGAGAAACATCAACGTGAAGGGACACATCGAGTGGCTGCCACCCGCATGACCAACCAGGGCCGGGGACAAACTGCAACCGAAGTACGTGCCCTTAGCGGGAACCGAACCCGGGTCTCTCCAGACCGCAGGCCGACGCTCTAACCGCTGAGCCAAACTGGCCAGGGCTTTTTTTTTTTTTTTAATTTTTTTCTTTATTGATTTTCAAGAGAGAGGAAGAGAGAGAGAGAAACATCAATGAGAGAGATCATCGACTGGCCGCCTCCTGCATGCCCCCCTCTGGGGATCAGGCTCACAACCTGGGCATGTGCCCTGACTGGGAATCGAACCGGTGACCTCTTGGTGCATGGGTTGACGCTCAACCACTGAGCCACACCAGTCGGGCAATAAAAACATATTTTAAAAAACAAACAAACCACCACAATAAAAAACCTTGTCTCTCTGATTTCAAAGACCTTTGTGCTTCAACAATATGCATGAATGGATGGGGAGGGGGTCAGTCCCTTCCTCCTTCCTCCCACGTGCTGTAGAATCGCAGACATCCCTGCTTTTCTCACTCACTCTCGGCGGCTTCAAGCAGTGTTCCTGTGGGTGGCCCCTGGCTCCGGCCTCACTCCTGGCCGCTCCCTGCAGCATCCCCCCAGACATGTCCTGGGTGCCGTGGGGAAGGGGCTGGCACCTCGCCACCGGAGGTGTGATGTACGAAGGTAGCCTTTAAGCAGGAAATGTTCGCAGGTGTCCTGCTTTATCTTTAATATTTGTGCAAACTTCGCATTCTTTTTACTAATATATCTCATTTTATTTTATTATGTATTTAAAAACGTAGTCTCCCTTACCAACCCCCAGGTGAGCTGAGCCTCGGGAAGACGCGCCATGTTTACGCTGTGGCTTCTTTCCTTGAGTGTGTGTTGTCCGCAGTATGGGAAATGCAGCCTCGGAACACATGGTTTCTATTCCCAGGAGAAGATCTGGATGTTTCAATGGATCTTTGCTGCTAACCAGTTTCCGAGGGTCTCCACCCCTTTTCCCCTGGGTTTTACCTTCTTCCAGCAGCCGTTGCGTTGCTAACTCCAAGTCCCACTCTCTCTCTCTGTAGGTTACACAGTGACCTGGCTGCCCTCCCGAGGTCTCACATCGCTGCTGGCAGCCGGAGCCCCTCGATACCAGCATGTGGGGCGGGTGCTGTTGTTCCAAGAGTCAAGGGACAAAAGACAATGGAGCCAGATCCAGATAATAAATGGGACCCAGGTGAGCAGGTCCATGAACGCTGCAGGTCAGGGGCTGGTATGACACCATCTATGCTCCCTGCTGCCTCTGAACACTTACCCACCTGCTGCACGGCAGGCCTGTGCCAAACGCTGTCACATTGTTCCCCCACGAAACCCTCTGAGGTAAGCTTTGTCATCTCCATTTGCCAGTTGAAGAAACTGAACCTCAGAGAAACAAACTTGTCTTAGTTCATCCAGGCTCTCAGTGGGATCCAGATGCAAACTTTCATTGGAGACCCCTGAGGAAGAGGGGTATCCTGCTCACCGGCTCCTCCTCAAACATATTCCTCTCTCTGCAGATTGGCTCTTATTTCGGTGGTGAGCTGTGTGGCATTGACATGAACCAAGATGGGGAAACAGAGCTGCTGCTGATTGGAGCCCCCTTGTTCTATGGAGAGCAGAGAGGAGGCCGGGTGTTTATGTACCAGAGAAAGCAGGTGGGGACCAGGGCATCAAGCCGAGGGGGTGGGAGAAACAGATTTCCAGGCCTGCTCAGGTCCCAGTTATTGTGAAAGGCTTTTCCTGTTTGATCATGTGTTAATCAGACCTTTGAACAACAGACAAACAGCAGCTGATACTCACTGGCAGTAGACTGTGTGCAAGGCCCAGTGCCAAGCCCCTACTGCATGTGAGCCCGTATTTGGTCCTCACAATCACCTCGCCAGCTACTGGGAGCTTTATCTGACAAATGGGAACTCTGCGGCCTAGCAAGGCTGGGGACTTCCAACGCCACAAAGTCACGTAGATAGCAAGAGGTGGGCTGGGCCTTGAACCCGGGTGAATCTGATGGCCTCTCTCCAGCTCTGTGAGGGGCTGCATCACGTATGAAACAGCTCACCTGTGGAAGCTTGCTGAGTGATTGAGGTGGGACCTGTCACCTTGCTTCTCCCAGCTGGGGTTCGAAATGGTCTCAGAACTGCAGGGGGATCCTGGATACCCCCTTGGGCGATTTGGAGCGGTCATCACTGCCCTGGCAGACATCAATGGCGATGGGCTGGTGGACGTGGCTGTGGGAGCCCCTCTAGAGGAGCAGGGGGCTGTGTACATCTTCAATGGGCAGCCTGGTGGGCTGAGCCCCCAGCCAAGTCAGGTGAGGTACCCTGCTCCCCGGGGCCTGGCAGCGTCTAAGCCCAAATCCCACTCCCCGGACTGACCCTTCCCCACCCTTCAGCCCGTCCTCTTCCTAGCTTAGCATGAATTTCTCTCTTGGTCTCAGCGGATAGAAGGGACCCAGGTGTTGCCAGGAATTCAGTGGTTTGGACGCTCCATCCATGGGGTGAAGGACCTTGGAGTGGACGGCCTGGCAGATGTGGCTGTGGGGGCTGAGGGTCAGGTGATCGTGCTGAGGTAAGACAGGGCTCCGGAGTCCCACCTAATAATAATTGAAGCTCTCATCCTTTGAACAGTTACTCTGTAGTGCGAACTGCTTATAGGCATTAGCTCATTTGTTCTTCCCTCCAACCCTGTGAGACAGGTTCTCTTTTTATACAGACCTCATGCCTTACCCCAGGTTAAGCAGCTGCTAGGATTTGAACCCCGGCCTATCTGACATTAAAACCTAGAGAAGCAATACCATGGCTTTAGAAACTGGTGACCTGGATTCAAGCCGAAGCTTTGCCATATGCTTTAGATAAAGTGGAAGAGAGGGAGTGGGAGGGAGAGAGAGAAACAGCGATGTGAGAGGGACACATCAATTACCTCCCCTTGACCCCTACCAGGCTGGGAATCGAACCCGAAACCCTTTGTACACAGGCCAACACTTTAACCGCTGAGCCAAACGGGCCAGGTCTGCCATTTACTTCTTGGATGATCCTACCCCAGTTACTTAGCTTCTCCAGACTTCAGTTTCCTCATCTTCGAAATGATGATTAAATCTCTTGCTTTTCCATATCTTAGAGTTATTGGAGGCATCATGTAACATCATATAGTGAATAGATATTTACTGAGCACCTGCTGTGTCTTAAATACTGAACTGAGTACAGTGTATGTATGGGAAAGCATATAACAAAAACATAAACAAATAATTGCAGTTGCAAGTGCTGTGAGGGGAATGAACAGGGTCCTGGGAGAGAGAATAGCAGGAGAGACCTACTACAGTGTGAGTGGCCAAAAAGGGCCTCTCTGAGGAGGTGATATTTGAGCTGGGACATGAAAGATGAGAAAGAGCCGGGCTGGCAGGAGTCTGGGGTAAGAGGTTTCCAGGTAGAAAGCCCAGGATGTGCCAGGCTGTAAGGTGTGGCTGGAACGTGGTCAGCTAAGGCAGAGTGTGTTAGGAGATACGACTGGAGAGGAAGGCAGTGTGGCGTGGATAGTAAAAAGTTTGCATTTTACTGTATCACGTGGCACGAGTAAAGGGTTATAAGCCTGGAAGTAGCTCCGTATGATTTCTCTTTTTAAAAGCTCACTTTTCTGGCCTGGCTGAAGTGGCTCAGTGGATTGGGTGTTGTCCCATGGACTGAGAGGTCCCAGTTTGATTCCTGGTCAGGGCACATGCCCGGTTGCAGGCTTGATCCCCAGTAGGGGGTGTGCAGGAGGCAGCTGATCGATGTTTCTATCTCTCCCTTCCTCTCTCTCTAAAATATCAATAAAAACATATTTTAAAAAGTAATAAAATAAATAAAAGCTCACTCTTCTGTATGGAAAATGGGTCAGAAGGCTGCTAGATTGAACCAGGAGCCCTAATAAATTATCATTATTATTGTTACTGTTGTTGCAAGGGGACAGTGATGTTGAGGTCTGCTTTAGAGAGGGAGGAGGCCTCTGGACTTTGATATGTGGAGCTCTAGGTCTGACTGGGGATTGAAGTTGAGGCCGAGGGAGAAAGTGCGTTGTTTCATGCCCGGCAGCTCACGGCCTGTGGTCGACGTCATCACTCTGATGTCCTTCTCCCCGGCCGAGATCCCAGTGCATGAAGTAGAGTGCTCCCACTCAACCATCAACAAGAAGAAGGAAGGAGTTAACATCACAGTCTGTTTCCAGGTCAAGCCTCTCACCCTCCAGTTTCAAGGTCAGTGCCGTCTTCCTGCTCCCCAGAGCATCGGCCCCTCCAAATCCAGGTGTATGGCCCAGGATCTGCCACCTTTCAACTCCTTTTCACCCCGCTCAGGACTCCTGGTTACCAACATCACTTACACTCTGCAGCTGGATGGCCATCGAACAAGAAGCCGGGGACTGTTTCCAGGAGGGAGACACGAACTCAGCGGGAGCACAGCTGTTACCATAGACAAGTCCTGCACTAAGTTCTGGTTCCACTTCCCGGTAAGAGAACCAGCAAAGCTGCTCCAGGAAGTGACGGGGTGGATGAGAGGCAGCCTGGGTGCAAGGCTTAGCTCTGGGTCGCAGCTGACTCGCAAGTCACTTTGATCTCTCTATACTACCATTTGCCCTACTGTACAACAGTAGTAATAATACCTTTAAAGTATTTTCTTCTAGTCCTTGATCTATATATAGAGAGATGCATTTTCCACATGATTATGATTATAAAATACTTACCATTTTTTTCTACTCTTTTTATATATCATATATTAATGCTGCTACCCAGCTTTCACAATTATTTATAAGAGCTATAGAATATTCACTCAGGGTAGCATGTCATTATCTGCTTGGTACACACTGTCATTTGTTATTCACAGCCATTCAGGAAAAAGATTTGTTAATATTGATTTAAACAATTACTGAAACACCCAAATTCAGTTTGCTCATCACAGCCCTGTGTAAAATAGTTTTGACTTGTAATTATTCTGATCTCTTGAATATTCATGAGACATATGATTGTTGTATAAGATCTTCACGTTGGTTTTATATTTTTTATTATGGGAATTTTCAGACATACAAAAGTTCTAAAAATATAGTTGAGTGAACTTCCAAGTATCTAGCACCAGCTTCAACAATTATCAACTCGATTTTATTTCATTTATACCTTCAACTCAGTGCCCTTTTGCCTCCTCGCATGCCGCCACCCCATTACAAGACTTGGAAATTTTAAATATAAATTTGCCAGTGAAGAGGTACTGTGACATGCTGGAAAAAACTGAAGTTTAGACTTGGGAGTTGGAGAGATTTGGGTTCACTTCCTTAGAAAAACTGTGTCACCTTTTTGTACCTTATTTCCCCCTCTTCATGGTGGAGATACTAATGCCTGCCTCTTCGACTTGGTAGAAACTAGGTGAATATGATTTGAGTGCCTTCAGAGTTCCAGTGTCCGGCCCTGGCAATTACATAAAAGACTTAAGGCCCGCCCTGGCCGGTTTGGCTCAGCGGTTAGAGCGTCGGCCTGCGGTCCAGAGAGACCCGGGTTCGGTTCCCGCTAAGGGCATGTACCTCGGTTGCAGTTTGTCCCCGGCCCTGGTTGGGTTGTGCGGGTGGCAGCCACTTGATGTGTCCCTTTCACGTGGATGTTTCTCTCTCTCTCTCTCTCCCTCCCTCCCTCCCTCCCTCCCCCCCCCCTGACTCTGTCTGAACAAAATATGGAAAAATGTCCTCGGGTGAGGATTTAAAAAAAAAAAAAAAAAAAAGACTTAAGGCCCTGCCTGATCTCAAGAAACTAGGATACTCTAGAATAGTCTTTTCTTGTGCAAATTTTGATAATGGTTGCCTAGAGCAGTTGGACAAAGACTGGGGGCTCGGACTTCGGTCAGACCTCCATGGAAGAAGGTGATAGCTTGGCGATGCCTGCCACGGAGTTGGGGCTGAGGAATGAGGCCTGTGCTGAGAAGCAACCCGATGCACAGTAAATGTCATCCCACTCCTAGTAAAGAAGACCACTAATTACTAGAATTCCATCATTTGTAAAACGTGAATAAGGTGTGCATGTACTGGGAAGTGTGGCAAAGGCTAAACTCTTGACATAAGATGTATTCTTATCACCCTCAGGTGTGCATTCAGGATCTCATCTCTCCCATCAATGTCTCTCTAAATTTCTCTCTCCTGGAGGAAGAAGGGACACCAGGAGACCAATGGGCGGTAAGGAGAGATCAGCTGGGGGAATTGATAGGAAATAGAGGAGAGTAGAAATTTAATTTAGTAAGACTGTATTATAGAGGAGTCTTTGGTTTAAAGCAATAGAAACCAGCCCTGGCCAGTTTGGCTGAGCGGTTAGAGCGTCAGCCTGGGAATGAGGGTTCAATCCCCAGGATTGGTCAGGGTTGGTTGGGAGGCGACCAATGGATGTGTCTCTCTGTCACTGATGTTTCTCTCTCTCTCTTTCTCCTCCTCGTCCCTTCCACTCTATCTAAAAAATTCGATGGGCCCTGGCCAGTTTGGCTTAGCGGTTAGAGCGTCGGCCCACGGACCAGAGAGTCCCGGGTTCGGTTCCCTCTAAGGGCATGTACCTCGGTTGCAGTTTGTCTCCAGCCCCGGTTGGGGTATGTGGGTGACAACCACTCGATGTGTCTCTCTCACGTCGATGTTTCTCTCTCTCTTTTTCTCCCTCTCTCCCTCCTGCTCTATCTGAAGATAAATGCAAAAAAATGTCTTCAGGTGAGAATAAAAAAAAAAAGAAAAAAAAATTTGATGGAAAAATATCCTCAGGGGAGGATTAACAACAAAAAATTTTAAATGAAGCAATAGAAACCAAATATGGCGTACTTAAGCAGGAAAGGAATTTTTGGGAGTTTGTATTTAAGAAAAATTTGGAAAAACAAGATTGGGAAGAAGGGAATCAGGGTGGACGCTCTAGGGCCTCTCCAGGGGAAAGAATAATGGATGGACTAGCAGGGTACTCATCTCATTAGTCAACATAATCACATTGTCACACCTAATTAAAAGAGAGCCCGAGAAGCCCTGGCCGGTTTGGCTCAGCGGTTAGAGCGTCGACCTGCGGTCCAGAGAGACCCGGGTTCGGTTCCCGCTAAGGGCACTTTCCATCGGTTGCAGTTTGTCCCCGGCCCTGGTTGGTCGTACAGGAGGCAGCCACTCGATGTGTCCCTTTCATGTCAATATTTCTCTCTCTCTCTCTCTCCCTCCCACTCTATCTGAACAAAATATGGAAAAATGTCATTGGGTGAGGATTAAAAAAATAAAAAATAAATAAATAAAAGAGAGCCTGAGAAACACACATGGTCATGTGGCCAGGTTTTTGTTTTTTTTTATCCTCACCCGAGGACATTTTCCCATTTTTTTGTTCAGGTAGAGTGGGAGGGAGAGAGAGAGAAAAACATCGATGTGAAAGGGACACATCGAGTGGCTGCCACCCGCACGACCGACCAGGGCCGGGGACAAACTGCAACCGAGGTACGCGCCCTTAGTGGGAACCGAACCCGGGTCTCTCAGGACCGCAGGTCGACGCTCTAACCGCTGAGCCAAACCGGCCAGGGCTGGCCAGGTTTTTTAAATGGAGGCTTTACTTTAAAGGTAGAAGGTGCCCTGGCCAGTTTGGTTCAGCAGTTAGAGCGTCAGCCTGCCGTCCAAAGAGCCAGGTTCGGTTCCGATAAGGGCACGTACCTCGGTTGCAGTTTGTCCCCAGCCCTGGTTGGGTTGTACAGGTGGCAACCACTTGTTGTGTCCCTTTCACATCCATGTTTCTCTCTCTCTCCCTCCCACTCTATCTGAACAAAAAATGGAAAAATGTCCTCGGGTGAGGATAAATAAATAAATAAATGTAGAAGGTGAGGGTGGATATATGGGGACAACCAGCAGTCTGTCATCTGCACTAAATTTTAAAAAGCCAAACTGTGTGATATAGGAATTTAGGGTAGAAAAGAGACCTGAGATCACAGTTGTCAAAAAAAGGCTTTCTGGGGGAAGTGGCACTGTCCCTGGATCCTGCAGAATGAGCAGACTTTGGGTAGGTGGAAAGAGAAGAGGCAAAGGGAACAGCATGGGGAAAGGTATGGTGGTAAGTTCAAGGCAAATGGGAGGTGGGCTTGGATGCTGGCAGAAGGAAACTGAGCAAGACAGAGGCCCTGAGTGCCCACTGGGGGCTGGCTGCGGTCCAGTGGGTGGTGGAAATCTGTATGAATGTTGAGGTTGGGTTTGAGCAGTCAGCTAACGCTGCCAGGACCCCCCACCCCTCAAGGAAGAGTCTAGAGGCTGCTTGGTAGGTGACCTGGAAGTTAAAGAGTCTGGAATCTCTCTAGAACGTACAGCTGATAACCCACAAAATAATTCTATGACCTCATTACGCTCAGGATAAAGTCCCAACTCCTAACAGGGCTTGCAAGGCCCAGGGCACTCTGGACCCTGCCCCTCTGACACATGGCGCTGCAGCCTGAGTATCTTTCTGTCCCTACACAGGCATACTCTCTCTTGCCGTGTGGTCTGTTCTTTCTTCCCTCTCCATTTTCTTCACTTGGCTCCCTCCTGCTCATCCTCTAGACTTTAGTTGAGAGGCCATTCCTTCAGTAAGATTCCCTGGTCCCCAAGTGTGGGGTAAGATTTCCTTCTACATACTCCAAAGATATCCTGTTCAATCGTAACCCTGAAGATTCGAGGTCGTTTCTGCCACCAGATAGGGAGGGCAGACAGTGTGTCCACTTTGTTCTTGGTGTATACCCAGTACTCAGCATGGGGCCTGGTCTGAGCAGAAGCTCTAGAAATGTTGCAAAAACTGGCCTTGATCTAGAAAGCTGTTCCAGGGGGAGCTGGGGTGCACTGAGGAGAAGCACAATAGAGGTCACGGGCAGGCGAGCCCGAGGTGTGCAGCAGACATTACGGCCAGGGGAGGAGATGGGCTAGGAGGAACTGTGGGAGCTGCTCTGTCAAGGCCCAGATCTTCTGTCCAGGAGAGGGAATGGACACCCTGATCCTCCCTCCCTCAGGGAGCTGCTACCAGAGGAGGCCTACACAGGGGCCCTGAGGCTGAATCAGGAGGTGGGACCTGCCCTGGGATGTGGTGGTTCCTGGGAGGGGTTAGCCCAGCTGAGCCCCAGGCCCCGAGCTACTGCATGCCTCCTGCATGAGTTCGGCTGCCTCAGCTAACTCTCCTGTCTCCCGGCCCTCCCACTGCTCCGTGTTCACAGGGCAAGGACATGCAGCCCATCCTGAGACCCTCGCCGCACTCAGAGACCAAGGAGGTAAGAGGGGAAGAGTGGCTGACAGAGGTCAGGGTCGGGCCTGGGTCTGGGTGCCTGAGCCTCCTGGTCCTTTCTTCTTGGCCTTTCAGATCCCTTTTGAGAAGAACTGTGGAGAGGACAAGAAATGTGAGGCAAACCTGGGGCTGTCCTTCTCCCCGGCAAGGTCTGTAAGGCTCCCAGCCCATTCTCCTGTTCTGCTCCCCAGACCCTCACCTGCACTCACTAGATGTGTTATCTGGGCCTTCGTCCTTCTCTCTGAGGAATGCCGTCCCTGTCTGTGGCATCCTGTCAGGATTAAACGAGATCGCAAAACGCAAAGCCTGTGCATAGGAGCTTATTTATGTGTATTTATTTTTTCTGGACTACCAGATTCCTCAGTTCTGAAAGTCCCCACCTCTGATCCTGCTTCCTTCGCCTTGGCTCCCATAACTTTCCCCTGACCTTCCCCCCAGGTCCAGAGTCCTGCATCTGACCCCCTCTGCCAGCCTCTCCATGGAGCTGACACTGAGTAACTCGGGAGAAGACGCTTACTGGGTCCAGCTCAGCCTGACTTTCCCCTGGGGACTCTCCTTCCGCAAAGTGGAGATGCTCAAGGTGAGCGAAAAGGCAGGCCTGCCCACATTCCCTGCTCGTCCCTGCGATTCTGCTACCCTCTGGGAGCCTCTGCCGGCCAGGACAGCCGAGCACATGGGCAACAGCTGGCATGCAGAGGTCTTTGGGCCACATGTGGGTTCGCAGCCTGATAGCCACCCTCAATTATATGACGTGAGATATGAGGTTCACCTTCTATGAACTTCAGTTTTCACAACCTAAAAATGAGGCTGGGGACACCTGCAGGGTTAGTGAGAGGGCCCCATGAAATGGAGCGTGACAGAGGCTCTTGGGCCTGGTGACCAGGAAGATGTGCACCGGTTTACCTCCCTCCTCAACGTGGTTTTGAGACCTGTGTTGGTTTAAATACAACTTGCATTTTTTAAATTGTTATTACAATAGTAATACATGATCCCCACAGAAATTTGGAAATTACAGAGAACTTTAAAGAGGATAATCACTCATACTTCTACAACTCAGCAATTACTCCTTTAAAATTTTGGTGTTTATCCTTCTGTTTATATATACAAATTACATCATATGTTTATTTATTCTGTATTTGTTTTAACTGAATTGGCATTTTACTCTCCATATTTTTTTCCCGTTTTTTAAAAATGTTTTCATTGTGGTAAAATATATATAATATAAAATTTACCATTTCAATTATAGAGTTCAGTGGCATTGAGTACATTCATGACGCTGTGCAACCATCCCCACCACCTATTTGCAGTATTTTTCATCATCTCAAACAGAAGTTCTATACTCATTAAGCAATAACTTCCTGTTCCCCATCTTCTCCCCATGGTAACCTCTAATCTACTTTACATCTCTATAAATGTGCCTATTCTAAATATTTTATATGAGTGGAATCATATATTTGTCCTTTTGTATTTGTATTCCTTCACTCAGCATAATGTTTTTGAAGTTCACGTATAAATTTCATTCCTTTTTGGTGTACAAGACAATGCTCCAACTAACTCATTTCTTTTTGAGGCTAAGTAGTATTCCATTGTATGGATAGACCACAATGTTTATCCATTCATCTGTCCATGGACACTGGAATTATTATCATTATTTTTTTAAATCTTTACCTGAGGACATTTTTTTTTTTCATTTATCTTCAGATAGAGTAGGAGGGAGAAAGAGAGAGAGAGAGAGAAATATCAATGTGAGAGAGACACATCGATTGGTTGCCTCTCACACAACCTCGACCAGGTACCACAACTGAGGTACACGCCCTTGACTGGAATCGAACCCGTGATTCTTTGGTCCACCAGTCGATGCTCTAACCACTGAGCAATCCAACCAGGGCTGGAATTCTTTTTATACAGCAACATTAAATGCTTCCTTAAGGGGTATCCAGTAGAGGTATAAAGAATTTGAGATCTGGAGTCAAACAGACCCGTGTTCAAGTTCCTTGCCACCTTACCCAGCTGTGAGACCTTGGGAAGCCACTTCACTTCCCTGAGCCTCTGTTTCCTTATCTAGGTCCCTTCTCCATCCGAGGCTGAACCTGTCCCTCACAGAATGTGATGGAGATAAATGTTTCATGCTGTTTAGTCCAGGACCAAATTCTTTTTAAAAATGGTTGCTGAATGTGTCGATGTAGCAGCATTTTAACAACCTCACAATATCCTCTCCTGTAACTGTATCACAATTTCCTGAATCATTTCTATCTCTTTGAACTGCTTGATCACTTCCAGTTTTTCACTATTATAAATATTGTTGCAGTGAACACCTCAGTACTAACCCTTTGGCTGTGCCCCTGGTTCTTTGGCCCCACCTCGCTGAGAATGTGCCCTGAAAGGGACAGAGCCGGAGGAGGTGGGCCCTGAGGGTTGGTGGCCTCTGGGGAACGCTTAGCCTTGACAACTAAAAAACTTGTTCTCTCTCTTCTCACCCCCAGCCCCACAGCCAGGTACCTGTGAGCTGCGAGGAGCTTCCTGAGGTGCCCCAACTTCTGACCAGGAGCCTCTCTTGCAACGTGAGCTCTCCCATCTTTAAAGCAGGCAGCTCGGTGAGTGCTTCGAGCTCGGGCGGAGAGGGGGCTCCTGGCTCCGGGGAAGAGTGCAGGTGATCGGCTTACCCCACCCCTGCCACAGAGGAGACATGTGCAGACGTGACTGTGTCATGAGTGGGGTTACTCATCTTGTGGCTTCACACACGCACAACTTAACCACGGATGACGGGGATCAAACCCCAAGGCCAGAGCTGAGGTGTAGTGAGCACTCCATGAGTGGTCGCTGTTATGGTGGTTGGGTACAGGGACTGTGAGGTGCTAAGGCTGCCCCCTGGGGCTTAGGCCCTTCCTTCTTCATCTCCTTCTCTTTCCCTGCCAGGTTGTTATCCAGGTGATGTTTTACACACTGCTGAATAGCTCCTGGGGGGACTTCGTCAATCTACACGCCAATGTGAGCTGGTGAGCAGGCCCAGGCAGGCCCCCACCAGCATTGCTGCCCTGGTCTCAGGCTGCCATGCAGTTCTGGCCAAGCCCTTCTCGTAATATTGCCCTTTCCCTTGCCCCAATGCAGTGACAACGAGGACTCGGGCCTCCTGGAGGACAACTCGGCCACCACCAGTGTTCCAGTCCTGTACCCCATCCACATCCTCACCCAAGAGTGAGTCATGAGCCCACCTAACCCTCTCCTCCCACCTCAGCCTCCCACCCAGGGCCCAGACCTTGCCTCCCGAGCTGTCCCTCAAAGCCCCCTCCCTGTTCTAAGTCCCCCAGCTTCAGGGTAATTAGAACTGACTCCAGCTACAATCTCAACAGTTTTCAACACTCAGAAGAGTGAAGGGCCTTTAAGAGTTCTGAGTCGGCCCTGGCGGTTTGGCTCAGCGGTTAGAGCATCGGTCCGTGGACCAGAGAGTCCCGGGTTCAGTTCCCGCTAAGGGCAGGTACCGCGGTTGCAGTTTGTCCCCGGCCCCGGTTGGGGTCGTGTGGGTGGCAGCCACTCAGTGTGTCTCTTTCATGTCGATGTCTCTCTCTCTCTCTCCCTCCCTCTCTATCTGAAGATAAGTGCAAAAATATCCTCGAGTGAGGATTTATAAAAAAACAAAAGAGTTCTGAGACAGAGCAGCATTTACTGATGGAGAAAAAGCACCTTGAATGCTGACCTTCCGTCAGACTCTGCAGCTGCACCGAGGCTGGTGGCTTTCCCTGGGCTTTAGCGCCTCCAGAGGCAGCTGTGCCTCCGCCCAGCTCACTAATGAGCACCCAGGGCTCGGAGTGGGGAGGAACTTGCCCAGAGGCCTACGCCGAGGAAGTACTGACGCAGGAATCTGAACCTAAGTCTGAGTCCAAGGCCCCAGCCAAGCCCTTTACTGTTTCAGCTGTGCTCCGTCCCCTTCCTTCCTGGGGCCAGCATTGCTAGTAGAGGTGAGAGGTTTTCACGGTGGCCCTTGCCCACACAGTTTATATTCAGATAGGCAGGACCAAACTCATGCACATACACAGTCAGTGAGTTTCAGAATATTGTGGAAGGAAGGACCCATGGGGGTCACTACTTGGATTTTCTCATTTACAGAAAAGGACATTAAGCCAGAGAAGGGGAGCGGCCCTTTACGCTGGCTCAGTGAGAGGGCGCCAGTGCCTGAGCCAGGGCCTCTGGTGCTTTGGAACACAAATGCCCAACAATGATGTCGTCAGAAGCGTGATGTGAAACTAGAGCCAGGGAAGATAATGTGGGACAGAGGGAGATGGAAGGGGTCCTGGAGAAGCTGAGGCTTGAACTGGGGCCAGGGAGGAGGGAGGACATTCTCGTCGGAGGGAACAGCCTGCGTGAGGCATGGAGGCAGCAGGCAGTCGGGCAGATCTGGGAGCAGGGAGCGAGCGGCTCAGGAGACGGCAGGTCTGCGTTGGGACAGCAGGCAGGCAGATGGGATCTGGCTTTGGACCTGACCTTGTGGGAAGCTGCGAGCCTCTGATAGATTCTGTGTAGGTGAGTAGCCAGGTCAAAGAGTTAGGAAGGTCAGGGACAGAAAGGGTGGGAGCCAGAGCCAGTGGCTGGCGCGGTTTCGAGGAGACGAGTGGGAAGTGGGAAGAACATGGCTCCAAAGGCACACCCACTGGGTTCCAGTCCCGGCCCTTCGCTGCACGACTCTGGGCAAGAGACTGACCCTCCCACAAGCCTTAGTTTCCAAAGGGAAAGAGCAGGGCATATGAGGATTACATGATGTCAAGCTAGAGAGGCCCCTGGCACAGCACTGGCCACTCAAAGCTCCCCTGGCCCAGGCCCCCTGGGTTTCCTCTGTGTTGTTGTCTTCTCCACCTTCTACCTCTGCTCTTCTCTCTCTCCACAGCCTGGAAAACTCCACATTCTACATAAGTTTCACCCCCAGGGGTGCCAAGGTCCACCATGTCAAGCACATCTACCAGGTAGGAATCTCAGTGTGAAAAGGTCCCTACAGGTCACACATTTATTCAGCCCCACCTGGGACCCAGGATGCAGAGACCAATTAGACACAGTCTCATCCTCCATGAGTCCAGCCCTCCACCTGGTTCTCCCGTCCTTTCTGAATGGTTCCCAAGTGCTCCCAGTGGAGCACAGTCACCGACTCCCTCCCACCACTGGATACATTATTTTTAGAATCAATCACAGAACTTGAGAACTAGAAGGACTCAGAGAGAGGTTCTAGTTTTTCATTCAAACATTTAATGAGCCACTGTTCTCGTGTAGGTACTTTGCTAGGCTCTGGGCCTAGCAAATAAAACAGGGTCCCTGTCTACTCACCAAACCCATTCTGTGCCTGGTGCTTATGTACAAAACCTGCATAACTCTCACAGCAGCCTGTGCGAGCCCATAACCTGTGCAAGCCCATAACCTGTGCAAGCCCATAGCCTGTGCGAGCCGGTAGCCTGTGCGAGCCCATAACCTGTGCGAGCCGGTAGCCGGTGCGAACCCGTAACCTGTGCGAGCCTGTAGCCGGTGCGGGCCCGTAGCCGGTGCAAGCCCATAACCTGTGCGAGCCCATAACCTGTGCGAGCCCATAACCTGTGCGAGCCCGTAGCCGGTACGAGCCCATAGCCGGTGCGAGCCCATAGCCGGTGCGAGCCCGTAGCCTGTGCGGGCCTGTAGCCTGTACGGCCTGTAACCTGTGCGGGCCCGTAGCGTGTGCGGCCCGTAGCCGGTGCGGCCCGTAACCTGTGCGGGCCCGTAGCCTGTGCGGGCCCGTAGCCTGTGCGGGCCCGTAGCGTGTGCGGCCCGTAGCCTGTGCGGGCCCGTAGCGTGTGCGGCCCGTAGCCTGTGCGGCCCGTAGCCTGTGCGGGCCCGTAGCGTGTGCGGCCCGTAGCCTGTGCGGCCCGTAGCCTGTGCGGGCCCGTAGCCTGTGCGGGCCATAACCTGTGCGAGCCGATAGCCTGTGCGAGCCCGTAGCCTGTGCGGCCCATAGCCGGTGCGGGCCCGTAGCCGGTGCGGGCCTGTAGCCTGTGCGGGCCCGTAGCCTGTGTGGGCCCGTAGCCTGTGCGAAGCACTGGCACTCCCGTCTTACAGATGAGAAGTCTATGGCACAGACAGGTCAAGTAACCTGCCCAAGGTACACAGCTAATAGGGGAAAGGTCAGATTCAAGCCCTTATTTGAATACCAAGATCCCTGTGTTCAACCTCTAAGTCAAGGATCTGTCATCTCTCACGCAACATGTTCAGTATGTAACAGCAATCCCCACTACTCGGAAGAAGGAGGCCTCCCTGAGTCCAAAGCTTGGGAGTGTAAGACTTTTTAGGGGTAACCTCAGGAGAGAATTAGGCACTGACCAGTCAACAGCATTTTCATTTTACGGTGGAGAAAACTGAGGCCCAAAGAGGAACTTGTCCCCTAAGGCCGCCCCGGAGGCAGGGCAGACTGGGAAGGGAGCCCAGCAGGAAAGGGACCCAGAGCAGTTTAGACTCTTTCAGAACAGAGGCCGGAATCATCTCCCCTGTAGACTGTGCTGGGGGAGAGTGGCCCTGGGGAAGGTCAGATGCGCCTGCATTGCAACAGAATGGAATAGCCAGTTGAGTTGGCCACTAGTGCTGTTCCCTGGGATGGCTGGAGCTTCCCGCAGAAGGCTGGCCATGCCATTCCTTTTACCAGGCATGGATCCAAACCCCGACTCTGCCGTTTGTACACTCTGTGGCCTTGGGCCAGGGACTTAGCTGTCCATGCCTCTGTTCCCCCTGTCACAAATGGAGTTTGGAATAAGAACTTCACTGGTGACATGAGGTTCAGTGGGTTCCTTTCTCCCTGTGGCGTGCTTGGCACAGTGCCTGGGGAGGTGGGGTTGCCGGAGGGGAAGGCGGGTGCTGTGCTCAGCCCTGCCATCGCCCAGCTGCTTCGGAAGCTCCTGACATTCTTGCCTCACTCGGCCCAGACCCAGCTCAAATCCCGTGAGCTTTCCCTTTCCTTTGGAGGCTGGAGACCTCCCTCCATCTATCTCCCTGCCCTCCAGCATCTCAAGCCAAGCAGTTGGCTCCCCACCCACTCTTGCTAAAGACTCTAAGATGATCTCCATTTTAATGAAACTGGCACAATATGGGACACTGGTAACCCATTCCCTATTTCCTGAAACTCCTCTTAGTCGAGCCCTTTTTGCCACAAGGAGGTCAGCTCTACTAATTGAGATTTATTATAAGCTGGACAGGCGAGAGCTGGGCCACAGAATCCCCTTCCTCATGGTCACCTGCTCCCCTCGCTGATAAGGAACACAGGCTTTAGTCAGACCTGACATCTTTTTGAACTCTGCCATTTAAAGCTGTGTGGCCTTGGGCAGTTTACCTAACTTCTCTGAACCTCAGTTTTTCAATCTATAAAACAAGGATAATAACCCTCTCTTTATGGGGTTGTTACAAGGAGCAAATGAGAAAATGTATTTCAAGTGCTTTGCCTAGTACTTGACACGTAAGGTATCTGTCAACATTGTCTGTTTTTAGTAGTATTACTATCACTGTTACCCAAGGAAGGCGATGGAGCATAGTACTTCTTGTCTCTGGAGTCAGCCTATGTTGAAAGGTCAGCTCTAGTACTTGATAACGTCCGACCTATTAACTCATCTCCCTGAGCCTCAGTGCTCCCATCTGTGAACTGGGGGTGGGAGTGTTGTCCACCACAGAGGAATATTGACAGAACTAAATAAGGTGATGCGTTTAGTGAGACTCAGAAGAGGCCTCGCACTCACAGTGCTCAGTAAATGGTGATTCTACCCGCGGTTCTAACCCTCTGTTTTCTGCTTTGTCATCACTACCACCCCCGCATAGCAGGTCCAGGCCCTGGGCTGGTGCTGCTGGCCGCTAGGTATCAGTTTTCCCAGCGTCCCCCTTCCAACTGACAGCTTCAGACTGCGTCCCTCCTCCTCCTCCAGTGCACCTGTCCCTGCAGCTTGTCACTCATCTCCACCAGGATGTCTTCCTAGCATCTGTGTGTGTGTGTGTGTGTGTGTGTTTTAACAACTTTATTGAGATATTCACACACCACATGATTTACCCACTTAAAGTGTACAATTCAATGTTTTTTGTTTTTTTTTTATCCTCACCCGAGGATATTTTTCCATTTTTTGTACAGATAGAGTGGGAGGGAGAGAGAGGAAGGAGAGAGAGAGAGAAACGTTGATGTGAAGGGACACATCGAGTGGCTGCCACCCGCACGACCAACCAGGGCCGGGGACAAACTGCAACCGAAGTACGTGCCCTTAGCGGGAACTGAACCCGGGTCTCTCCGGACCGCAGGCCGACGCTCTAACCGCTGAGCCAAACTGGCCAGGGCTCAATGTTTTTTTTGTACGGTCACAAAGTTGTGCTGCTATCACCATAATCTAATTATAGAACATTTTCACTGCTCTGGAAAAGAACCCTGTATCCATTTGCTTTCACTCCTTCATCCTCCGTCCCCCAGCTCTGGGCAACCACTGCTTTTGTCTCTCTGTAAAGATTTACCTATTCTGGACATTACATGTGGCTGAAATTACACAACATGTGGGCTTTTGTGACTGACTTCTTTCACTTAGCGTAGTGTTTTCAGGGTCCATCCATGTTGTAGCATGTGTCAGTATTTCATTCATTTTTCTTGCCAAATAATATTCCATTGTAAGATAGACCACGTTTGATTTATGCATTCATCAAATCACGGACATTTGGGTTGTCCCCACTTTTTGGCCACTACAGATAATGCTGCTTAAATACTCCTGCACAAGTTTTTGTGTGGACATATGTTTTAGTTCTCCTGGCTGTACATTTGTCCCTTGCCACTTCGCGCTTCGACTTTCGCGGCTTCACTCTATCGTGAATTTTTCTAGACTATATTTGAAAAACCGAGGATAGAGTGAAGCCGAGAAAGTCGAAGCGCAAAGTGGCAAGGGACAAATGTATGTAAATGAAGAACCCTACTTCGTGGAAATTCATTTATTGCCATAGAGTCTGGAACTGATTAACCGCGATAAACGAGGGCCAACTGGATAACTAGGACTGCAACTGCTCCTCTCGAAACTTTGGACTCAGCATGTTCTAAATTTATTTTCTTTTTCAATCCCAGCATCCTCTTTGGTTTGCTTAAAAGCCCTTAAAAGCCCCAGTTTTTCCTCAAGCCAAACTTCCAAGTCCGGGTGAATTTCTCTTTCCAACGTGCCTGGACGCACTGCCTCCTAACTTCTGTTGTCTATACTGTTTTATCCCTCTTGTCCCCAGTACTGCTCAGACTGAATTTCTCATCCTCTTGCAACTGGATTACTGGCCCAGGCTCCCAGCTTGAGCCTTGATCCACCTTTCCCGACTTCTTTCCATTCCGTGCCTGCAATGGAGGAGTCCCCTGGAGTCACCCCTCCTCGGCTGCTTTCCGTGACTCCCCACTGCCTAGCCAGGGTCCTCTGACATCTTGCCCCCAGGCCTTCTGGGCCCCACAGACTCTGCCCAAGTCTCCTTTCCAGACTCGTCTCCTATCTCTCCCCAAGCAGCCTACCCTCCGGCCACATCACACTCACCTCGTTGTCCTAACTCCCTGCACTTTCTCTTTCTGGGTATCTCCCCCCATCTTCACCTGTTAATTTCCTATCCATCTTTAACAGGTAAAGTCAAATGCTGCCTCTGACATTAGACCTTTTTAGTTTAATGTCACTGACATTTTAAAGTGTCCACAAATGATTGCTGAGTGATAGAATCCCTCAAATTGGATATCTATTTCCCTGCTTGACGTCCCTGAGACTGTCATTGGTGCTACTCTTGTGTCATTTTTTATACATTTCTGGGTCTTCCAACCCTAGCACAGATAGCTCTTTTGTACAAAAGGTACTCAGGAAATATTTCTTAAATCAGTTCAATGCACTTGCCAAAATGAGTCTTTCCCAACTGTCATTGTGCACCTGTCCTTGTGGAATGTCATTCATTCTTTTACTCATTCAGAAAACAACTTTTCTTGAAGCCTGGTATGTGCTAGTTTCTGTGTTGAGCAGTAGCGCACTGCGGGTGAAATAAACCACAGCTCCAGCTCTCATGAGCCCACGGCCTCGTGGAGATACAGACACACAGATGCTTTGCCATCCTGCTGGGGATGTAGAATGCTGTGGAAACACAGGAGTGGGAAGCTGCCCTATTCTTGGGGCAAACATTCATAATGATATTTGGGCAGGACCGTGCAGGATGTGTGAGGGTTTGCCACGTGGAGAAAGCAGAGAAGCTCATGTGACCCACACATGTCACTGAGGACAGGGACGGGGTGTGGTGGATTACTGCCCACAGCCTAACAACCGGGCCCTTTGGCCTCAGCCAGTGAGGATTGGATCTGGGGTGGCAGTTAGAGTGGCTGGCATTCAGGGCTCAGCAGCCTTTTGTCCTCTGTACCAGGCGAAAATTCAGCTGTCTGTCCATGACCACAACAAGCCCCCGCTGGAGGCCTTGATTGGGGTACCTGCATTCCACAGTGAGGGGCTCATTACTCAAGAGTGGATTGTGCAGACGGTGAGTGCTGCCCAGAGGAGGAAGGATGCCCAGGTCTGGGAGGGTACGCTCATAAAGGGGTACAGATGCTTGGGAAGGGAGTGAGGATGGAGGAATCCTGTCACACTCAGTGATGTCTGAATCTGCCAAGAGCCCGTAGGAGAGAACTGGAATGCCAAGGTCATATCTTTGGGGTGGAGAGGCATACCAGGTTCTGGCCTGAAGGGGCTGTGTCCTCTCATCTCTGGACTCACTGAAGATCTCGCCTCATCATTCCTAGGAGCCTCCTGTCGCCTGCAACTCTGAGAATCTGGAAAGGCCGCCCAATGTGGCTGAGGTATGGGTGTGTGAGCTGAGTGGGGGCGGGGCAGAGTGCAGGTAGAAAGGCCTCTCCAGCCCCTTGCTGTTCCTTATTCCTAGCAGCCTTGTTTGCCTGGAGTCCAGATCCGCTGCCCAATGGCCTTCCAGGAGGAGATCCTCGTCCAAGTGGTCGGGACTGTGGAGCTGGTGGGGGAGATCAAGGTAGCAGCACCTGCTGGCAACAGACAGGAAGTGGTCGTGGGGGCCTTCGGGGTGGGGGTGGGTTCCCCACCACGTGATCTTCCTGAATCTCCCGTTTTATCTGATGAAAAATCCCCGATGTTTACACAGTTGCAGATGAAAGGGAACCATGATGTGTTCGAAATTTGCAGGGCTGTTTTCACCGGCCTGTGGATAATTTTTATAGGTTTTTTTATAGGAAAACTTTCCTTCCAGCACTGGGGAGGGGCACACTGGAATGCAGAACTTCATAGACTGATGCCCCAGCTGGGACCACCCTCCTCTGCTTCTCCCCCTTGAGCTGAGGTGGGGTGGGAGTCAGTGGGTACTGGGGCCTTGTAACGCCTGCCCCGCTCCTCCCACAGGCCTCGTCCATGTTCAGCCTCTGCAGCTCCCTCTCCATCTCCTTCCAAAGCAGCAAGCACTTCCACCTCTATGGCAGCAACGCCTCCCTGGCCCAGGTATCTCGTTACCTCCTCAGGAGACCTGAGGTCAGCAGAGAGATCTGAGGAACCACAGGGCAGAGCTGGAAGAGCCAGAGCTAGGTGTGGGCAGCCACGTGGGAGAAGGTTTGGGCTTAGCACAGTAAGAACTTCCGCACAGCCAGAGCCACCAACCTTGGCAGAGGCTGCCCGGAAGCCATGAGCTTCACCACCACTGGGCAAGCAGACCGCAAGGTCACCTGTCTGAGATGCATCAGGTAAAGATCAATGTGATGGCAGCTGAACAGAGGGGTCCCCACTCCACAGGCAGAGCGTGACAGGAAGACGCTCTAAGCGGGGAGAGCAGCCAGTGCAGGGCCCAGAGTGGAGAGAGTGCGTGAGGCAGGTTCAAGAACGAGGCTCAGAGCAGGAGAAGGGAAGTTGCAGCTAAAACGCTAAGCAGAAACCAGGTTCTGGAAGGCTTCGCAGGCTGGGCTGAGACTCTGGCATTCTCTCCTGGGACTAAGGGAGGCCACTTAAGGTGGCTGCGGTGCATGTTTGCCAGCTCACACTGGTAGCTGCAGTGGGAGGGACACTGGACAGAGGGGGCTGGGCCAGAGCCTGGTGTCATGACACAGTTCAGACTGGAAACGTGAAGACCTAGAGATTGAGGCCAGATTCACAAGACATCTTAGCAGGGGTGGGGGCGGCCTTCTTCCCTGCACTTCCCTCCTCTTGTCCTCCCCCAGGTCGTCATGAAGGTTGACGTTGTATATGAGAAGAATATGCTCTATCTCTACGTGCTCAGCGGCATCGGGGGGCTGTTGTTGCTGCTGCTGATTTTCCTGGTGCTCTACAAGGTCGGAGCTTCTGGAAGGAACGGGCATGGCTGAGATGGGCAGGCTGAGGCAAGGGGAATGGCAGGAGTCAGGAAGGAGGATGCCAAGACCAGGGAACATTAAAACCTAGACGGGCCTCAGCCTGCTCCCTCTTTCTACAGATAAGCCTACTGAGGCCCAGAGAGCAAGCGAGCCTTTTCCCCCATCACGCCCCCGAGCTCTGGCAGGGCCAGGACTGAGGAGCTCTCCCAGTACCCAGGGCTGGGCACTGAGGTCCAGAGGCACATACCACAAACCTGTCCCTTGCCTTTGTGGAGTGCGTAGTAATGCGAGAGACAGACAGGAACACACAGGCTGAAGGCTCCTTCATGGGGCTGCGTGCTCTGGAGCCTGTAACAGGAGCCTCACTTAGGTTGGGGGAGTCTGGGAAGGCCTCCCAAGAAAGGTGGCATTTGAACGATGAGTGGGAGTTAGCCGGATGAAGAGTGCTGACGGGCAGGTGTTCCATGTAAAATATGCAACTATTCCAGAAAAAGTTTCTTCCTATTGCTTCCCACTGAATGTTGTCATTAACAACTTTTTTGTTTCTATTCCTCTAGGTTGTAGTTTTGTTGTTAATAATGTGTGTATGTGTGAGCATGGGAGAGAAAAATCAGTGTATGTGTGTATATTAGAAAATGTAAATGGAATCAGACTGTATATACTGCTTAGGAACTTGTATTTTCCTCCGGATGTTACACTTTGATGTCTTTCCGTCCAGACACAATCAGATCTATTTGCTTTGTAACCTGGGTGGTTTTCTGCCACCTGGGTGCCCACCTTTTCTTCAACACGTTCTCTACTGATGAACATTTAGATTGTAATTTACATCTATTTCAAACAGTACGACAAAAAAGGCTGGTACCCACATCTTCGCACACTTGTCCAAATGTTCTTTAAAATTAATTCCTAGACCTGGAATTGCTGAGCCAAATAATATGTATGTTTTGAGCTTTCAACAGAGACTGCATGACACATACTAAGAACTATGTGAACATGGGCTTTTATTAGTATTACAGATATTGTCCAGTCACCTTCCTAAAATATCCATACCTGACATTTTCATGAACCTAAAGGACGAACCAGTAAATGTACAGCTTTTTAACATATCGCAGGCAGACACTCTCACCTGTCCCTGGAATGGACACCACGTCTGTGGCACATATGAACTATTTTTTTTAAATCCTCACCTGAGTATATTTTTCTGTTTATCTCCAGATAGAGTGGGAGGAAGAAAGAGGGAGAGAAAGGGAGAGAGAAACGTCGATGTGAGAGGGATACATGGACTGGTTGCCTCCCACACGACCTGACCAGGGCTGGGGATGAACCACAACCGAGGTGCGTGCCCTTGACTGAAATCAAACCCATGACTCTGGTCCACAGCTGATGTTCTAACCACTGAACAAACCCGGCCAGGGAGGCACATATGAATTTTTTTTTCTTTTTATTGATTTTTTTTTTTAGAGAGAGAGGAAGGGAAAAGGAAAGAGAGTTAGAAACCTTGATGCACCCTGGCCAGTTTGGCTCAGCCGTTATAGTGCTGGCCTGTGGACTAGAGAGTCCTGGGTTCGGTTCCCGCTAAGGGCGCGTATCTCGGTTGCAGTTTGTCCCCGGCCCTGGTTGGAGTCGTGTGGGTGGCAACCAGTCAACGTGTCTCTCTCATATTGATGTTTCTCTCTTTCTCTCTCCCTCCCTCTCTCCTTCCTGCTCTATCTGAAGATAAATGCAAAAATGTCCTCGGGTGAGGATAAAAATTTTTTTTTTTTTTAAAAGAAACACCGATGATAATAGAACATCGACTGGCCACCTTCTGCATGCCCTCACTGGGGATCAGGCCCACAACCTGGGCATGTGCCCTGACCGGGAATCGAACCGGTGCCCTCTTGGTGCAGGGTCGATGCTCAGCCAGTGAGCCGCATTGGCCAGGCTGAACTATTAACATAAAGAGTGCTTTCATGGTTTTGCCAGGGCCAACTATGCTCCATGGACTTTCTGCTTAATCATTTTTTTGTCTTCCTACAGGTTGGCTTCTTCAAACGGAACCTGAAGGAGAAGATGGAGGCTACAGCCGATGCCTCCGATGGAATCCCTGGAGAAGACTCTGGGAAGCTGGCGTCTGAGGAGGAGGCCGTGGATCCGAGCCGCGTGGATCTCCTTCAAAAGGAGGAGGCCCAGGATGGAGGCGGCGCATACTGAAGCCCGGCCTGAGGCAGAGGGCCCAGGATTGGACTTGGGAAGCCTGGTGCCAGTCTGCCTCTACCTGCCCGCCACTCTGTGTCCCCTGGCAAGTCACTGCCCCTCTCTAAGCTCCAGTTTTTCGGTCTTGAACATGGAGCTCACTCCTGCCTGCCTCCTTTGCAGGCTCATGGTGAGGATTCACCGAGGGATGGGACAAGAAGGCTACCAAGGTGAGGCCCTGTAATTATCAGATAGTCCTGGCTTCTACCAGCCTCTTAGTTTCCTCCCCTAGAAGAAAATGTGTGATCTAAATTTGGAGAAACTGTAGTCCCAGGATCTAGTGACATTCCCAGGCCTTACACCCACCTGCCCTTGGAGATCCACAGAAGCCCCAGACTCCCAGAACTTTGCCCTGCACTGTCTCTGCACGGAGTCCAGCCCACTTTCCATTCTGCTGCCAGAGCAGATGCGATGTGTCACTACATTGCTGCTGCAGACTCCTTGCTCTTTAGCTAAAGACCAAATTCCTTAATGTGTCTCCCCAAATCTGCAAAATACTCTTACTATGCCAATGCCGGATTGGGCCCTGCTGCCTTCCTGGCCTCCTGTAGAGACATCCCACCTCCCTTCTAAGCTCCAGTTACACAGGCCTTTCTCACCTGCCAAGCTTTGTCCTGTCCCACTGCCTTCACCCGGACTGCTTTCTCTGCCTGGAACATTCCTCCCTCTTCCTGGCTAACTCTCATCGGTCTTCAGATCTCAGCTCATACATCACTTCCTCGGGCAGCTCCCCATGCCCACCATTTGGGTTCCCAAATTACGCATGCTTACACTAGCGTGCGACTACCCATCACAGCAGGGATATGTGTTCATTGTTAAATGGTTTACTTCATATCAGTATCTTAAATTAAACAAGTGAACTTCATAGGTGGGGACCATACCTTGGGGTCCCTGATGGTATCACAGAGCCAGATACATAGTTGGTGCTTGACGTGATTTCACTCAATTAATGAGGGAGTCATTGGGAAGATGGAAAAAAAAGTTTGGGTGGGTCCATGGCATCCCATTCTTAAAGGCTCAGTCTTCCCCAGGCGCCTGCTCCCTCACTCCACGGTCCCCTCCAGGACTCCATCACACCCCCACTGTGGTCCCCACTGTGAGACTCTGAGCTCAAGGGTGGGGACCATGTCCATTCACCTGGCTCTCAGTGCTAAGCACACTGCCTGTGTATAGTTATCCAATTAATGTGAAATTCTTTCCAATTTTGAGATGTTTCTGTGCTGGTGCAACATTCCAGCCTGGCTCAATTAAATGAACATTTTCTTCTCGACACTTTCACTATGTGGGACCCAAACAGTAGCTCTCATTTCTCTTTTCCTTTCTCTTCTCTCTCTCTCTTCTGGGGTCCCAAGACTGACCTGCACCTGCTATTGTGGGCTAGTTCAAAAAAGAAGCAGGGAGAGAAACACAGGAAGTGAGGAAAGGTTAAGGAAGCATTGACAATTTGCTAAGATGTGAGGGTAGACTCTCCCTAGCCCTCCCCCCTTTTTAAAACCCTGAGGCTCCCTCCTTTAGAAGGGACAGAGGAACCAGTCACTACTGCCCTCTTGTGGTCCATTTTAACTATCAGGAATATCACAGACCTACTAAAAGTACGTAAAGTGTAGGTCTCGAGAAGCCTGTCAGGTTGTGTTCATTTATGCGGTATTTCTTGAGTGCTTTGTGTCATACTCTGTTCTGTGCTCTGACAACATGGGATGAACATGACAGACAAGTTCCTGCCCTCGGGAAGCTTCACTCCAGTGAGAAAACAGTAAACAAGTAGAAATGAGATTCCAGGTAGTGATAGGGCTGTGAAGAAAATAAAGCAAGATAATGGGTTAGACAGTGATGGAGAAGGTCCCTTTAGATAGGTGGTCAGGAAAGTCTCTCTAAGGAGGTGATAGTCCAGCTGGTGTAGCTCAGTGTTTGAGTGTCGACCAAGAGGTCTCTGGTTTGATTCCCTGTCAGGACACATGCCCAGGTTTCTACCTCAATCCCCAGTAGAGGGTGTGCAGGAGGCAGCTGATTGGTGTTTTGCTCTCACATTGATTCTCTCTCTCTCTCTCCACCCCCCCCCACTTCCCTTCCTCAAAAATCAATAAAAAAAATCCCTGGCTGGTTTGGCTCAGCGTTTAGAGCTCCAGCCTGCGGTCCAGAGAGACCCGGGTTTGGTTCCCACTAAGGGTTGCACTTTGGTTGCAGTTTGTCCCCGGCCCTGGTTGGGTCATGTAGGTGGCAGCCACTCGATGTGTCCCTTTCACGTTGATGTTTCTCTCTCTCTCTCTCCCTCCCACTCTATCTGAACAAAATATCAAAAAATGTCCTCAGGTGAGGATAAAAAAAAGAAAAAGAAAACATTAAAAAAAAAAAAAAGATCTGGGAGACTCAGTTCAGGAACAGACCTGCCATCATCATCCCCAGAAATCTATATCCCAACTCACTTAACAGCACCTGTCCTCAAATACCTGCCTCTCCTTCCCGCCTCTGTGCCTTTGCACATGGCGCTCCCTTGCCAGCAGGTGCAGTTCCACCTCTTTTCGGAAACCCTCCTACTTCAAAGCACTTTGAAGCTTTTCTCACTCCCACAACTCCTAGACAGATTACCCATCCACCCCCACTTTGTTTGCACCTCACTGGGCACGTGACGCTGGCTGTGTGGGCTTCTGTTTCAAGAGTAGGAGCTTCTGGAAGGCAGGACTCAGGCCTCCCTCATATATGTTACCAATGCTGACCCCTCACCAGGGCTGGCACAAAGGAAATGTTCAAATGTGGCCCTCAAATGTTTTGGTTTCACGACCCCTGTATACTCTTAAAAATTATTGAGGATCCCCAAAGAGTTTTTTTAAAAGTGGGTTATATCTATTGAGGTTTATCCAGTTAGAAATTAAAATGGAGAAAAAACTTAAAACATAACGCCCAAGCCTACATTCCACACAACCCATCAGAGTATGACATCTGCCATGACAAATCATGCGGCCTCTAGGAAACACTCTACTCATGGGAGAGAGACAGTGACAAAGTAAATAACATCTTAGTATTGTTAGGAAAGTAGTCAAAACCCAGGCAGCCCTAGGTTTGCATCCAGGCTCTGATGTGGGGCAATTCTTATCCTCTCTGGGACTCATTTCTTCATTGGTAAAATAGGAATAATAATTGTACAAGGGTGGACAAAAGTAGGTTTGCAGTTATTCGTAAAGAAAATTATACAGTAATTAATAAATAACAATATAAGAGTAAACTCTATGTCCCGTGTACTCACAATTGTAAACCTTCTTTTGCTCCACCTCAGAGCTGTCCTGAGCATTAAGTGAGATAACACTTGTAAAGTGTTCCTAGCCCATCAGTGCTTGATAACAGTGGTGGGCAGAAACGGTCGTTTAGATGTGCAGGATGGTGTGGTCAAAGCAGCATCCTGGACCGAAGTCAAGACATCTGGTGTGGAGTTCTAGCTCTTCCATCGTGATCTTAGGAAAGACACATGCTCTCCTGGGTTTGATCTGCCCCACCTGGGATCTGGAGGTACCTTAGGAGTTGTCACGAAAAAGAGGTGTGGGGGCTGAGCAGCTGAGCCCCCACACTCGTTTGATCAGCTTTTATATACTAATGTTCTGTTCTGGCATACAGGCTACTTTATCTTTGTTTTGTTTTTTAAATCCTCACCCAAGGATATTTTTCCATTTTTAAATATGTTTTTATTGGTTTTGTTTGGGGGAGGGAGGAAGGGAGAGAGAGATAGAAACATCAATGTGAGAGAAACATTGATCGGCAGCCTCCTGCAGGCCCCCTACTGGGGATCCAGCCCGCAACCTGGGTATGTGCCCCAACCAGGAATCAAACCAGGACCTCTCAGTCCATGGAATGACGCTCAATGCACGGAGCCACACTGGCCAGCTTCATTGTTAGATAGAGTGGAAAGGAGGGAGGAAGAAAAAGAGAGAGAGAGAAACATCAATGTGAAAGAAACACATGGATTGATTGCCTCCCGCAGGGCCCCAGACGGGGTTTGAACCTGCAACCCAGGTACATGTCCTTGATCAGGAATCAAACCCTTGACCCTTTGGTCCAAAGACACTCTAACTGCTGAGCCAAACCAGCCAGGGTCAGGCTACTTTATCAATTAAGCCCCACATGCACTGTGCCCAAGGCCTCCCAGCTTTCAAGGGCATAGGCTTGTTTGCAAGCTGAAAAATAATCAATTCCAAAATATGAAAATTAAACTGTATAGTTGAAATAAATGTTGAAGTAAATGTAGTTTCATTTCAGGTAATCAAATGCAATTCTATGTATATACTTACATATATGAACTATATTAATTGTGGGGGGCAGAATATTTCAATATTTGAAATTTGGTATGGTGGGGCATCTGTACAAAAATGTGCATAAAGTTTACAAAGGTCTTTATAAGACTGAGATTTTACTTTACTTTTCTACTTCCAAAAATAATTAAAACTTTGAATACTACTAAACACAATCAAACTCTATTGAACCACATGATCTCTAAGAGCTTGCAGACCTTGAGAGGCTAGATTGAAATATGCTTAGAGAAGTTATTTACTCGTGACAAGTTCCAAGGTCCTGAGTATGGGTATGGGAGTCGGGGGGTATAGTCAGGATCCTGAGGCCCAAGAGACCTTACAGAGCAATGACTCCCCACCTGCCTTGAGGCCAAATTGCTGGGGACAGGTGGAGCCAGGCAGACGTCGCCTTAGTTTCAGAGTGATTTTGAGCAGATCACTTAGTTTTGTGAGCTCCATTTTCCTAATCTGTGAAATAGAATAAATAAACCTTGACAGGGCACTGTCAGGCCTGAGCAGTTCATCTCACGACAGTGCCAGCAGCCAGGTGATTCCCCAAGGCATGGCCTGTCCTCCTCAGGTAAGGTATCACAGGCCACATCCCAGAACCCTCCCTACACACTCACTGATGGCACCAACCTCCCATCCTTTCCTAAGGGCCAAGTGTTAGGAGGAGTGAGGTTCAGCTAGGAAAGGAAAGTAGGATAAAGGTGAGATGATAACAGGGTGATCCCACCAAAAGGTACAGGGGTCCTAAAAAGGAGGCAGAGCTGTGGTAAATCAGGCCAGCCTGGTGGGAGGGTTTTTTGTGTTGTTTTATTAATCTTCACCCAAGGATACTTTCTCCATTGCTTCTAGAGAGAATGAAGGAGAGCAAGAGGGCATGAGAGGGGGAGAGAAACATCAATGTGTTAGAGACACATCAGTTGGTTACCTCCCGCAAGTGCCCTGACCCGGGCAGGGAATCGAACGGGCGACTAGGTACATGCCTTTAACTGGAATCATTTAACCTGTGATCCTTCCGTGCACAGGCTGACGCTCCAACCACTAGGTCACACTGGCCAGGGCGTGGTGGGAGGGTCTTAAAGGCTGGCACCCAATTCTCACACTGGGTCCAATACATGAACCCCTATGGGTGGGATTGGAATTTGCAGTCCTGGTCAGAGTCAGGGTCTGCACAGAGTGGTGGCTAGAGGCTGTAGCTGGCGTTTGGGGTGGGGGTGAGAATGGCACAGCTGGGTGGTGGAAGCCAGAGAGAAATGGTACAGTTTCCATGCCCAGATAGGAGAATCAGGGTCTATTTTCTGGCTCAAGAGCAGACCCTCTATGTTTGGGAAGAGGGATATCCACAAAATTGAAGGGCTTTCTCAAACCCACAATGGGCCCCCTTTGTGTCTGTGCAGCATTCAAAGGATGGAAGATGAACCTGGGCAGATATGGGAAAGTCACATCTCCTGAGCCTTTGATAAGAATCCAGTGAAATTCTGACTATAAAAGCACTTCCCAGACACAGCCCCATGGCTTCATTGGCTGCTCATAGTTATGATCACTTAGTGTCTCCCACTGCCCAGGGCATTGTCCATGTACACATTTTAAGGACAAATCTCTTTGACCAAAGAGGTTTTTATTGAACTCAAATTCAGGGGCTCCAAAGCCTGAGGAAGACAAAGGGAGACTGGGGTTTGCACTCAGAGGCCCAGGTCCCACTCTGGGCTTTACTCCCCACCCCACCTCCCCTCACCCCCTCCTGACTCAACAAGGGTTTCAGTAGCTACTGATCTAAGCTACCCCACTCTAATTAAGTAACCCTTCCCCTCCCCCCTCCCCATCTAGCACTTTGCCAAGTAGGCATCCGCCAAGGGGCATGCTGCTGCTGAGGCCAGCTCTCTGTTGACCTCCTTCTGGATTCTCCCAGAGCCTCCTGCTGCCTGTTTGGCCTCCCTCCAACCCCTCTTCATTACCCATTTCCCATAAATCTCCAGGGCATGTAACTTCCTCCACCCTAGTCCCCTCTCCTAGAATCCTCAACTCCAGCTTTTCCACTACTCTAAAGATTTCTCTAGCTCCCTGTCCCCTCCTCTTCTGCCCACGATAGCCCCACCCGACAGGGCCGCCAGTCAACGACGGCCGGCAGCGTGGGTCCGCTGGTGGCGGATAAGGTCGGAGCTCTGTGAGAATGCCTTTCCACAGTCATCGCACTTGTAGGGCCGCTCCCCGCTGTGGACCCGGTGATGCTGCAGCAGCGTCGAAGAGCGGCAGAAGCCCTTGCCACACACAGCGCACCTGTAGGGCCTCTCACCTGTGTGGGAACGCTGGTGCTGAATCAGTGTGGAGGAGCGATTGAAGGTCTTGCCACAATCTGGGCAGCTGTAGGTGCGGCCTGGCAGGTGGGTGCGGGCATGAATGGCCAGCACAGAGCTCTGACCAAAGCGCTTGCCGCACTCAGGGCACTTGAAAGGCTTCTCACGGGCATGGCTGCGGGCATGGGGGATAAGTGCCGAACGCTGGGAGAAGCTCTTGCCACAGATGCCACAGCTGAAGGGCCTCTGCCCAGTGTGCACCCTCTGGTGACTACGCAGGGATGAGTTCTGGCTGTAGCATTTGCCGCACTCCGGGCAGCTGTAGGGCCGCTCATGGCTGTGAGTGCGCTGGTGCCGCAGGAGGTAGGAGCTGTCTCCGAAGGCCTTGCCACAGTGCGGGCACTTGTAGGGCTTCTGACCAGAGTGAGTGCGCTGGTGGCGAAGCAGGTAAGAGCTGTCGGCGAAGGCCTTGCCACAACGGGGACACTTGTAGGGCCGCTCCCCCGTGTGTGTGCGCTGGTGTTTGATGAGGTCAGAGCTCTGAGAGAAGGCCTTGCTGCAGACCTCACATTTATAGGGCTTTTCACCTGTATGGATGCGCTGGTGCTGGATCAGGGTGGAGCCCCTGCCAAAGCTCTTCCCGCAGATGCCACAGATGTTAGGTCGAGGGCCCTGCCCACCCCTGGCGCGACCACCCCTTCGGCCTGGACCCCGCAGGGTTCCCGTCAGGCCCAGAGGATTCTGGAGCATCTCAAACTGGGGTGTAGCCAGCAAGGCCCCTGAGGGCATCTCAAAAGGTGGCCCTAGGGGAAGGCCCCCTGTGGGCTGCTCCCCAAACCCCTGGGTGAAGGAGTCCAGGGGATGAACTCCCAAAGAGATGCTCAAGGGATTCTTTTCCTCGGGACTGAGAAGCATCTCTGTACCTTCCTGGAATTTGGAACTTTGAGCTTCAAATTCAGGGCTTTGGGTTTTTAATTCAGGGCTCTGAGATTCATACCCAGGGCTCCGAGGTTCATATCCAGGGCTCCGGGGTTCATACCCTGGGCTTTGGGGCTCATACCTGGGACTTTGTGGTTCAGACTCAGGGCTCTGAGAATCTGATTCAGGGGTTCTGGGTGCAAATCCAGGGCTTGGGGGCACAAACCCTGGGCTTCGGGACTCAAAACCTGGGCTTTCAGGCTCAAACCTGGGGCTTTGGGGTTCAAACTCTGGGCTTTGTGGCTCAAACCCAGGGCTCTGGGGTTCAAGCCCAAAAGGTATCTCTTCGACCTCATAGTCCCCAATGCCTTCTTGCTGAGAGATTTCCTCTTCCTCATTCTCACGTATGTTGCCTGCAGGATCAAAGAATTACAGAAAACCCATATGGTGTGGAGCCTGGAAGGTCACTGGGTCCCACCATTAGTTGTCACAAACCTCTCCCTCCTGCTCAAACATGGTCGCTGGCCCTTGTACAGGTGCTGAAATTCCCACCTTCCCCTCAGCAAACCCAGGACACCCGGTCCCCGCCCCCACCTCCTCCAAGTCCCAGGTGTCCAAGTCCTCCGCTCTCTTACCCCCCAAGGACCACAGCCCCCTCTCCCGCTCCCAGGCACGCTCCTCGGAGGGGCGCTCCCTCCCTCACCTTTAGGGGACCCTTCGGGCCCCACTTCGTCAAGACTTTGCACATCCTGGGGCTCGAGGCCCCACGGCGACGCCTCCCGTTCCATCCCCGCTGGCTCCCAGTGCGGCGGCGGCGGCGATGGCGGAACGATCCTGCGACCTGGCCTGAGTGCCCGGAGACCCGGACCCTCGCCGCCCGCCCGCTCAGCGCCGCCCAGGGGACCCGGCTGCCCAGCCCCGGCCCCCAAGGCCGGACGTCTTGACCCTGGGCCTCTCTGGCCGGCCGGGCCCCTCCCCTCCCCGCGGCCCCGCCCCCACCCACCAGGTCTCGGCTTGCCTTGGAGCCCTCACGGGCCCCCACGCGTTTAGCCTCGGAGATGGGGGGGTCTTCACGACTAGCCCTGCTGCCCCCAGACACTGCTCCCCGCCCGAGACCCCGCCGTCTGGACCCCAGCCCCAGGCTGGGCTGCGGCAATCGACCCCCTCCCCCCGCACAGGAAGTGTCCGTCCGCGGCCAGTTCCCCCCGGTGGCTAGCACCGCGGCCTCTCTAGGAGCAGCTGGAGGTGGAAACTCGTTGGCATTAACCCTGGGCTGGATGGCCCCAGCGTTGAGGTGGGTGAGGACAAGGTACCCTGGAGCCGGCGGGAGAGGCTGGGACAGTTTGTGTGCCTATGTCCTGGGTCTCCGTCCGTCCAGTGGCCTATCTGTCCTTCTACTGGGCTCTGCACCCGTCAGTGACTGTGGCCAAGGGCGAGGCGACAAGCGAGACCAAGGTCAGCGAGAAGGAGCGACGCTTCCCGGCGCCAGCGGGGGCGGCGTCTAGTTTCTGCCGCTCTGGGGCCTCGGGGTCAGCTCCGGCCGCCCTCGACGGACCCCCGTCCCTCTTCGAGTTCTTGGAGACTAAGACAAGCCTTCCCCGCCCCGCTCGAATTCCACTACCCCCCACCGGCGTGTCTACCCCAATTCCTCCGGGCTCCCTCCTCTCTCTGCTCTTAATCTCCCTCCTCCCCCTTCCTGCCGGGTTAGGATCGTTGCCAAGGAAACAGCTCCGCCTCGGGTTTCCAGAGGCGCCGCCCCTACCTCTCAGAGAGTTCAGCGATTGACCAGTAAAGGTCGTACTCTTACCGCCCGCCTTCTCCCTCTATAGCAGCTGCTCGGCTTTGATGGTCGCCGGGGAATGCGAGGCGCCTTTGATTCTTTGGGAGGTGCGCAGGCTGGTTCCACCTCTCAAGTCCGCCGAAAGAGCCTGCGGGAGGAGTGGGAGGGACCTGCCTGGCGTCTCCCCTCGAGCTGTGCTTTCAGAACTTTTACCGCCTCCGTTTACCCTTTATTATGTTTTATCTTTCTGAAAAATGAAAGCCTAGAGATTGAGGGCAGACACCCTTTCTCCTCCTCCACATTCCCTTTCCCATCACTTTCCTGAGAGAGCCAGTCGGGAGATCCTCCCTCAGAGAGGAAGCTGCTTTCTTTTCAATTACCCTGCCTCTTCCCTCCACCTGAGTTTAACTCAGTCCTTGGGAGCCTTAGTCCATGGTTCCTGGGTTTTCTGGCAGGGAGGCAAGGATCCTGTGGGAATTTCTTCCAGATGAGGGTGGGGTGATAGAGTCCAGGAGTGGAAGTGAACAGAACCAGTTAGACTTTAAGGCGGCTAAGAACCCTCCAGTCCTTTCTGGCTTGTAAAGAAAGGAAACCTGAGAAACACTGCCCTAGGTGCAACTTTGAATCAAGGGGAAAAAACAATCCTGGAAAGACAATAGGGTCCAATTCTTGTCCCTTGCTGCTGAAAACTAGTTTGGTAGCCTTCTTGATAGCTACCAAAGAGCCAAATTCTTCTGTGTGAGTGACACAGGAGTCATGGTTTATGTTTTCTTGTTGCTTTCCCAGATAAATGAAGGGAAGAAACTGGTTAAGAGGAATGATGGAATCTTCCATTCTCCTGAAAAGAGATGAGAATTTGGAAAATTCCAAGTGATAAAAGATTGGAGAGAATGGTCTCAATAGAGGCTTACAAATAGAATGACAGATATCTTTCTACAAATAAAGGGGGAGTACTTTTCTGCCCTCCAGAGCAAGAGCTTCTAGCTCCATGCCTCTCTCCATCCCAATGTCTATCCTAAAACCACTGTTAAGAATGCACACCCGCCCTGGCCGGTTTGGCTCAGCAGTTAGAGCGTTGACCTGCGGTCCGGAGAGACCCGGGTTTGGTTCCCACTAAGGGCACGTACTTCGGTTGCAGTTTGTCCCCGGCCCTGGTTGGGTTGTGTGGGTGGCAGCCACTCGATGTGTCCCTTTCATGTCAATGTTTCTCTCTCTCTCTCCCTCCCACTCTATCTGAACAAAAAAAAAAGGAAAAATGTCCTCCGGTGAGGATAAAAAAAAAAAAAAAAGAATGCACACCCTACATGTGTACTGATTTGGGAAGAGCTGGACCTGGGATACCCCCTTGTCATCCCCAAAGCACTCACACAAGTAAGAGACAAATGTCTCCTTCATGAGACATGACTTTCCGACCTGCTTACACACCAGAAAATTCACACAGGAGAAAATGTACACAGGAAAGCTGTGGCCCCTGCAAAGAGTGGCAAAGATTCTAGCCACAGGTCTGCTATGGTCCACTGCCTGCATTCTTCATAGCATGGGCCAAAAGCACACAAGTAGCAGAAGTTGGTCCAGGGCTTCAAGCTGCTCTAGCACCATCATTTCCACGTGGAAATTCAGTTTCACTAGTGCCTAGAACAAAAGAGTAGCTATCTGACTTCCAGGATGCCTCCTCTAGCACCAGATCTGTCTATGCAATGAGCCTTCAAGAGGCAGCCAGCCTACGTCTGCCACCAGTCCGTAGCAGTGGGAGGCTCAAAGCACAGGAAATCTTCTGATGAGGGTTCCAACTTGATCCAACACTGACTAATCCAAGTTAAGACTGACCTTGCTCTACCACTGAGTGTTAGTGAGTAGCCTGTGTGTATCCCAAGTTGAGCATCATCCTCTGGTGTGCAGAAGGACTGGGGCAGAGCTGTTCAGAGCACAGCCAAGACTTATGGTAGGCCCTAAGTCCTCACTAAAGTTCTCAGTGTGAGGGGATCCTGACTGAACTGCTTCCTCCCTGCATGCAAAGGACAAGCTAAGAGGCCTCTGTTGTGCTGTAAAAGATGCCCCAGTATATTCAAGATTTGAAGTACACAGGAAGATCCCTGGCCAAATAGCTCGTTGGTTAGAGCATCATCCCCATGCACCAAGGTTGCAGGTTTGATCCCTGGCCAGGGAACATACAAGAATCAACTAATGGCTTTGGCCAGTTTGGATCAGCAGTTAGAGGGTCGGCCTGTGGACCAAAGGGTTGCAGGTTCGATTCCTAGTCAAGGGCACATACCTAGGTTGCAGTTTCGATCCTTAGCCCTCGTCAGGGTCATGCAGGAGGCAACCAATGGATGTGTCTCACATTGATATTTCTCTCCCTCCTTTCCACTCTATCTAAATATCCATGGAAATATATCCTTGAGTGAGGATTAACAACAACAAAAAAAGAATCAACCAATGACAGCATTTAAATAAGTGGAACAAATCAATGTTTCCCTTTTCCTCTCTCACACACACACACACACACACACACACACCAATGTTTCCCTTTTCCTCTCTCTCTCTCTCTCTCTCACACACACACACACAAATCAATAAATTTTTTAAAAAAGTACACAGGAAGAGAGCAGCCACAGCAGCACAGGCCCCTTTAGCAAGAACAAAGGAAATGGGAGTCTTGTGTATGGCTAGGTCATCCTCTGACCTAAGATTTGATACAAGCCCTGAGACCAACCCCTCTTCTTGCAAAAGCTCAGAGTCGTTCTCAAAGTTTAGCAGGCATAAAATGCCATTCCTGGAGGTTCAGATTCAATAGCTAGAGACAGACAGGGCCCAGGGAACTAGCTACATTTAAATAAATAGTATATGATTCTTTGGCAGGAAGGCCTTACTTTGAAATGTACTGGTCTAGAGCAGGTTTTAGCTTCCTTGAGTGACATCCTGTTCCTAGAAAGATGCATGTAAACATTCCTAAAAATATTAGCGGTCCTTTGGAATTCAAATCAATACTTACCCTTATTTTATTAAATATTTTCTTCTTTTTTTAAACCATAATTTTATTTATTTTATCCTCACCTGAGGACATTTTTGCATTTATCTTCAGATAGAGCGAGAGGGAGAGAGGGAGGAAGAGAGACAGAAACATCGACATGAGATGTTTGTCACAAGTGGGATATGGTGTAACCCCCCGGCATTACTGAGGGTTAGGGGATGGGAGGGGTTGTACACTGGCTGGCTTCTCTTGGGAATTAAAAGCTGGTACATCCTACTACCAAAGTGCCTTCTTACACCATATCCCACTTGTGACAAGATGGCACACAACCCCAGCTGGGGCAGGGGACAAACCGCAACTGAGGTACACGCCCCTAGCGGGAACTGAACCTGGGACTCTGGTCCACAGGCTGACACTTTAAACGCTGAGCCAAACTGGCCAGGGCAAATATTTTTTCTTTATTGATGTTATAGAGGAAGGGAGAGGGGGAGATAGAAACATGGATGAGAGAGAACATCAACTGGCTGCCTCCTACACACACCCCACTGGGGATTGGGCCCACAACCTAGGCATGTGCCCTGACCAGGAACTGAACCGGCGACACCTTGGTACATGGGCCAATGCTCAACCAGTGAGACACACCGGCCAGGCTCACCCTTATTTTAAATGTCTTGGACAAACTAGGGACATGTGGTCATATCCTGGCCTCTCACACTGGCCATATGGATGGGCTCGTATCTGGTACAGACAAGTGTTTCTCCAGTGATGCCCTAGAAAAACTCTCTTACCAGTTTACATTGTTTCAGATTCTGAGCCTCAAAGACCTGCAGTAGCAGAAAAAGAGCCCTACCTTTGGTGGAAGTATCTATGCCAAGAAATGAGGAGCTAAGAATGGAGTGAGGCTGAGGCATTTCATGACACTCAAAAATTATCTTTTAATGGTGCGAGTTGGGTCTGGTGTTTAGGCCCTTAGCAAGCCTTGCAAACTTCAAAGCACTCAGAGAAAGTAATAATTATGGCACCTTTAATTGGCAAGCTGAGGTTAGGGTCCAGATCTGAGCCAAGAAGGGTGTTTCAAGCTGGGTTCCCACCCCCCCACCCCCCGGCATTACTGAGGGTTAGGGGATGGGAGGGGTTGTACACTGGCTGGCTTCTCTTGGGAATTAAAAGCTGGTACATCCTACTACCAAAGTGCCTTCTTACACCATATCCCACTTGTGACAAGATGGCACACAAGCCAGTCCTCCCAGAAAAGTTTAGGGTGGGCTCAGATCGCAATCAGGTCAGTTCATTACTTTCACCTGAACGGTGTTTTCCCCCAAATCTTCTACCTTTCTTTAGAAGTTTCTCCAGGTTGGCAAATCGGGTTCCTTCCTCCCTAAGGTAGGCCAGACATGGGGCTGAGTTCAGTAAAGGCAAGTGCACACAGGCTAGCAGGGGACATAGTCCCTGCTATTCCTCCTCAAGTGAAGGGTCATCCTGACCAGAGGCAGGACGGGGTCTGCCCATGGCTGGCTGCTTCCATCACCTGGACAAGGCTGGGCTCTGACCATAAACGATTAATAGATGGATAATGGAGTCACAAGGGGAGTGGGGAAAGAATTGGCAACCAATCCCAATGTTCCTGGCCTCGTTCCTGTGGATTCATGATGGTGGGTACCTAAAGAGAGTGAAGATCAAGCTTTTCTTGTTTGCCATGAACTCTCATCTCAGGCTGGTTTCTCCCTTGTCTTGGTCTGCTATGTGGCTATATATTATATGTATGTATATATATTTTTAATCCTCACCTAAGGATATTTTCCCACTGATTTTCAGATAGGGAGGGAGGGAGAAACATCTATGAGACATATCGATTGGTTGCCTCCCACACAACCCCAACCAGGGCCAGGGATTGAATTGAAACTGAGGTACATGCCCTTGACCGGAATTGAACCCGTGACTCTTCTGTTCATGGGCTGATGCTCTAACCTCTGAGCCAAACTGGCCAGGACATGGCCATTTTGCCACTCATACTCAGGTTTCACTGACATGGAGCTGGTCTGTCCCCAGTCCTGGTCAAGGCCTAGGTGCCCTCATAGGGAGTGGGCAGATGTCTCCAGAACCCTGGCCGAGACCTTGGCAAGAAATTCAAGAGTGGTGTGGTAAAGACAGCAGTAAACTAAGAACCCCGCCATCTGTGTTTGACCTTGGACAGGTTGCTTAGCCTCCCCCAGTCTCAGTGTCCCCAACTGCAAAAGCTCGGATCTCTTCCAGCTCTGAAACGTGATGAGGCCCTCCTGGCTGGGTCTAGGCTGGACAAGGCCTGAGCCATACGGCTGTCCCAAGGAGGCCCAAGACAACTGGAGGGCACGTTCAGGGCCTTCCCCTTCAAAACCAGGAACTGCTGGTGGACCGAGAGCAGTGCTGTGGTAGGGAGAAATGCCACTGGTGTAGAGCGAAAGATACAGTCCTGACTGCCTCTTCCTGACTAGGCTGTCCTGTCCAAGCAAGATGCTCTCTTTCTCAGGCAGTTAAGAGGGTGACATGAGTTCATGGAAAAGACTGTATTTTGTAAACCATAAGATACAATGCAAGCAAGATACAAAATAAAGGCTGCTTTTACTTCTCTCCTGCCATCCTTTCACATATATGCTCTCTACCTGAATCCCTGACTCAAGAAAACTTGAATGATATAGACCATGGTGTGGCCCTGGCCGGTTTAGCTCAGCGGTTAGAGCATCGGCCTGTAGACCAAAGAGTACCGGGTTTGATTCTGGCCAAGGGTACGTACCTCAGTTACGGTACATACTCCCTGGCCCCGGATGGGGTATGCGGGTGGCAACCAGTTGTGTCTCTTTCACATTGATGTTTCTCTCTCTCTCTCTCCCCCTCCCACTCTGTCTGAAGAACAATGTAAAAAGTATCCTTGGGTAAGGATTAAAAAAAAAATTAGACCATGATTTGTATGCCTGTGACCACAGGAGCCCAACAGATCACGTAAAGGAGTAAAATATACCGGATAGGAGAGGGCTGCTTTGCCAGAGACACGGTCAAGCCATGAGTGCCAGCCAGTGCTGGTCAGGAGCTGACGAGGGGTGGCGAGCATGCCGAACTGGAGAGCACAGGCTCCGGCTCCATCCAAAGGAAACAGCTGCCTTCAGCTCCTGCCAACTGTGGTTTTGTAGGAGCTTAGGTCGAGTTGCCAAATCTTCGGATTTATCAAGTCAGAAACTTGGATATTTGTGTGAAATCTTCATCAATAACTTGTAATATTTCAAATTTCTGACAAGACCAAAAACATAAGACAGCTACAGGCCAGATTCAGTACATGGCCCCCAGTTATTAACTTCTGCGGTAAAAACACAATGGGTAAACCAAGGTTCTCCTCTACCTCAATCCTCTTAACACATATTAGCTGAGAAACAGCCTTTCCTTCCCACAGTAGAGGTCTGCTTGGGGTTCTCACCTCAGCCCTAACTTAGCAGAGGGCTCCTAGAATGTAGGCCAGCACCGAGTGAGGTGTCAGCATATCAAGCTGGTGAAGGCCTAAAATATGATGGTCCTCAACCCCCAGGTCCAGCTTGTACAAGGAATTCTATGACCTCCCTGGAACCCCCAGAGGTTCTGTACTGATTCCAGCTTGGGCTCAGGAAATGTTTATGTCTTCACCCTTTGTCTTTTCACCTTTGAGGCCATCACCCACACTCCTGAAATATCTCTGGGTAGAGCTGGAAACCCACAGGTGGGTCCAAGTCCCCTCCGCCAGGGGCCAGGGGCACAGACAACCCACTAGCACCCTGGCCCCTGTGTCCCCCGGCACCAGGCCTATGGACCCACTGGTGCTTGGCCATGGCTGACTTCTGGCCAAAGCACCTGCCACACTGAGGACAGGGGTAGGGGCGTTCCCCACTGTGGGTGCGCCGGTGCGCTGCCATCTCGGAGCTCTGTCGGAAGCAGCGCCCGCAGTCTGGACACGGGTAGGGCTTCTCGCCTGTATGGGTGCGCACGTGGCGCCGAAGGTCTGAGGCATGGGCAAAGGCACGGCCACAGTCTGGGCAGGAGAAAGGGGTCTCACCACTGTGGACCCGTTGATGCTGGTAGAGGGCAGAGCTCTGGCTGAAGCAGTGGCCACAGTCAGCACAGCGGTAGGGCTTCTCACCCGTGTGGACACGTAGGTGGGTGGTGAGGGCAGAGCGCTGAGTGAAGGCCCGGCCGCAATCGGGGCAGCGGTGGGGACGCTCCCCACGGTGGATGGCACGGTGCTTGCTCAGAGAGGAGGCCTGGCGGAAGCCTTTGCCACAGTCAGGGCAAGAGAAAGGCTTCTCACCTGTGTGGGTATACAGGTGTTCCACCAGAGTGGAACGCCAGGCAAAACTCTTTCCACATAGGTAGCAACCATGACGCTGGTCTGCCCTAGGGACAGGGGGATGGGCAAAGAGTGGGGGGCGACCCCGGCGAGGCACCTTGGATGGCTGCTCCAAACTGTAAGGGAGCCCAGCAGAAGGGGGTTTGAGAGCCTTCAGCCTAAGAGGCCCAGCGTCCACAGAAAGGATCTTCTCCAGTGCCTCAGTGCCTTCTCTTAGTCCTTTCTCTTCCTTGTTTCTGGAATCTGCTGGGAGATAAGGGGAGAGCTCAGACCCTGGCTTTTTTATCCTGGTCCTTGAATCCCACACCACAGAAGGTGACAGAGGCCTCTTATATACAGCCACCTTCTGAACCCACAGCCGCCCCAGGGGACTCAGCTCAGTACAGGCAGAGAAGCTGAGGACACCTTTTCCTCAGGTGCAAAGGATGGATAGAAAAGCAGCAGAGACAGAGTAGAAAGCAACAGTACATTCTGCCTCAGGGCTGAAGAAATGGCTGGGGGGTAGGCAAAAGACATTTTAACTGGATCATGGGAGATGTGTAGATGCTTAAGAATGCTTCCGGCAGCAGGAACAGCACAAAGAGACATAAACCAGGCTGAACCAAGTTCAGAGGGGCTTGGGTACTGTGCAGCAAGTTGCCAGAAAAACAGTGGAAGGCAACAGAAAGGAAGCTGCTACAAAAATATAACAAAACAGGAAAGTAAACTAAAACATAGGACATGGCAGAGGAAGCTAGATGTAGGCAAACAGGAGGGATGAGGTGGAGCTCAGCACCTCAGAGAACAACTAGATGTGAGGGGCTCAGGTTCGCAGGAGCTGGGGGCAGAGGCAGGTATGCCAGGGCCCCACACCACAGCAGAGGTTGGTCACACTCACAGCCCCCCTCTAGGCTGAATCCAGAAGCTAGGCAGCAGCCAGGCACAATCACCTCAGCCGGGAAAGCACTTCAGGGAAGGAACTGGTGAGCAGGGTAAGGTGTTGGCAGAGGGTAGCAGGACGGGTCAGGCCCAGAGGAAGACCCTATGAGACGGAGTCCCAAGTACTTCACCTGGGTCTTCTGTCAGACACTCTCCCAACTCGGGATCTCGGGCATCTGGACCCCACAGTTCAGCCTCCTCCTCCAGCCAGGAGATGAGGGCCGGCTTGGTGCCTCGGAATCCTAGGGGAGAAGAACGCAAACCGCACGCTGCCCGGAGGCCGCCGCCCACCGGCGGTCCCGCCGTCCCGGACCTGGGGCCTCACGCTCCCCGTGCAGCGCCCGAGGCTGGCAGGGTGGATGGGGATGCCGGCCAGGCGAGCAGTAGGGCCTCACCGAGCGCGCCCAGGTGGCCGTAGGTCTCCTGCATCACGTCCCGGTACAGGGCCCTCTGCGCGGGTCGCAGACACCCCCACTCCTCCGGGGAGAAGTACACGGCCACGTCCGCGAAGCTCACGGACCCGGGGCCCCTCCCCTCGCGGGCAGCCGCCTCTGGTTCACGCGCGGAGAGCGGGGCCGGAGGCGGCGCCATGGGAAGTGCCAGCCCCGCGGACAGGCCAGCGCCGCCCCTGGGTCCCCAGGCCTCACGTGCTCCGGGACGCCTGCCCGGCGGGCCGAGGGTCGGGCGCGGTCGGGAGGGCCGGGGAAGCAGGGAGCGGCCTCTCCAGGGACCACGCGGGTGGCTGAAAGCTAGGAGTTGATGGCTGAAGGTACACAGAAAATCAGGACTGGAGGTCGCCTTCCTAAGAAATGGCGGCAACGCAGCCTCACGAGCTTGGCTCCTATGCAGCTTTGCCCAGATGACGCCAACCCGGGGTCTCTGGGTTACTTGGTCGCCAGCCCTCAACCAAAATGGCCGCGACGGCTACCCGGGCGGAAGCAGCGCCCCGCCCCGCCGGGGGGCCAGCCCGGCCACCAGGTCCCCGCGCCAGTCCCCGCCCCGCCGCGCGCCGGGCAGCCCGCCCAGGTTTGGCCTTGGCCCGGCCCACTCCGCCTCTGGGAATTCAGGCCTTATGTTTCTTGGCTGGGCGTTTATAATTGTGCTTTGGCCTATCAATGGGTGACAGCAATCTTTCCCCAAATGTTGAGGGTTAAAAAAAAGGTAGTGGGTAAACGAGAACTATTGGAAGTTTGTTGGAGCATGAAATTCTGGGAGCTTCTATTTCAGGACATCTTGGGGCAGCTCAGGGAGAGTAGGGTAAGATGTGAAAAAGATCAGAAGGACCCTCTTTCTGCAGGCTTACCCTTCTCCCCACACATGCCCTGCAGGACGCCTTCCCTATCTATTTGCCTCTAGCTCAGATGGCTCCTGAGCTCCTCTTGATGAGAGAACCACCTGCCACCTTGCCTCTGCATGGATGTCCCACAAGTACCTCAAACTCAGCATGGCTCAAGCTGAACTCATCCCTTTCTTCCCCCAACCTGCCCCTCCTGGGGTCTTTATCTCAGCAAATGGCACCACCTCTCCCTATCATTCTACCTCCAAACCTTCCTCTCTTGGTGGGCATATTTATTGACTGCTTACTCTGTGCCCCCACACGTCTTCATAAACACCCTGCCCTAAGAAGACGATACTTTTCTTTGGGCCAGCTATATCAATCACAGTATTTCATACATTTCATGGAAATGCACTCCCCATCTTCAGCAGGTTCTGGCTCTAGTCTGGAACATTTCTCTGCTTGCCTCCTTCTGTAGTAGGATAGTTAGATAGGCATGAGTAGGAGCCATAGGCCAAGTGCATAGAGTCACCAGGACAAGAGCCCTGGGTGCCTAGCAATGGGCAAAACTGCAAGCCCTTGCAGGACCACTACGTTAAGTATTAACCCCTGGGAATGACATCTAGGCCTCAGCTGTGCTCTAGGCCCAGAGAAGAGCAAAATCAGACCCAGTGACTTCCATGGCTGACATCAGGTGATGGCAAAGCATGATTGCACTCGGGGCAGGGATGAGAGTGCTCCATTAGTGCCAGGTGTTAAGGCTGGGCGCAGATGTGAGGGGTGGGGTGGGGGGCAATGGGAAAGGTCTGGCTACAGAAAGCCTTGGCCACAGGCTCAAAGACAGGGTCAGTGTTTCTGATCCCAGGGGGCTCATGACGACTCTGGAAGAGACTCCTTCTCCTGGCCTTTCTAAATGTATTGTTTTTCTGAGTGGCTGTTGTGAAACAACGCAGATTCAAAACTTGCCTTGTTAATTGTCCAAAGTCTAATCATGTTCAGGTGACAAATCGAACTTCAAGACGCAGAAGCATTCAGATGGGTATCTAGTCCCTGGAAGCTTCCCCTAAACTGTGTTGGCCAATTGAAGGGCTCATGAGTCAAGGTCCACCTATCTCAGGATCAACCAGAGGAGCAGCTGTTACAGGGTCCAGGGACCTGGAGACAGAAAGGTGAACTGCCTCCATCCTAAACTTCAGTTCACACACTGCCACTGGACTAGAGTTTGAATTATTCATATAGCGTGACCTAATCATGGGACCACTGGATGCCTCAGTCAACCGAGAAAGAGAATTTTAAGATTTCAGACTCCAGTGGATGTCATAAATTCGGGTCAAGAAAAATTAGTAAGGAACGTGTAAATGATGTTTCTTGCTCAAGAAAACGTTTTCCTTCCAGCTGGAACTGAGAACATTGCCCCCACTTCTCACCTTTCTGTCTTTCTCAGGCTTCCTCCCTCCGGGGGATCCTGAGCATCTGCACCCCACAGCTGGGTCTCCTGCTCTACCCAGGAGGGCTGGTTTGGGGTCTGGGAATCATGGAGAAGAACCCTAACCACTCAAACATTTAATACTATGCATTCATTTAATGAAAACTTATTGGGCACCTCTTGATGTTCTAGGTGTTGGAGGTACTGGCAGAAGTATGGAGACCGTTGGGCAGACTGCTCAGGTCTATATAGACACAGAGCCGCAGTTCCGAGATTTTCAGCATAGGGTAGGAGAGCTCCAAGGGGAATTTCTAGAAACAGCACTGGAGAAGGGCATTGAAGGGTGTTCGATTTGAAGGTGTAACGTCTACAGAGCAGAATAGCAAGAGCATATAGGCTCGCTGAGCTAGAGGTATGTCCAAAACCCAAAGATCCCATTTACTCAGAGCCAAATGGGACCGCTTGCCTGTAGGGAGAGAGATCTGGTTTGAACTGGAGGTTAGCGTACCATGGGCCTTCTTGTCGTGGCACGGGTTCTAAAACTTTTGCAGAAAGTCCTGGAGAGCCACTGGAGGAGTCAGCCCGGGGAGACTCTGTAATGAATTTCACTTACGGTGATCTGGGGGGAATCACAGGAAACGGAAGCACCTGGGACAGTACTGGGGGCGAATAGAGCACCTGGCCCTGCCTATCCCTTTTCAGAGATCAGGGACGGCCAGCCCTCACGGAGCGCGCCCAGGTGGCCATAGATCTTCCACATCATGTCCTGGTCCAGGGCCCTCTACGCGGGCAGCAGACAGCCCCACTCCTCGGGGAAGAAATACACGGCCACCTCCACGAAACTCACGGCGCCTGCCCTTTTCCACCCCACTGTCCCTTTCACCCGGGCCTTCGCGGGCATCTCTGCAGGAAGCCAAAGGCAGGCACCGGGATAGAGCCATGTCTGACCCTGATCCACGAAGGGATACGGTTAGGGATTCGGACTCTGGGGACCCAGGTCCTCCAGAGCTAAGGAACCGGAAGTCGCTCTGAATGGGGCCGCCCTATGACGCTGAGAGCTGGTTGCGCGAACTCTGTGGTCCCAGGACCAAGAAAATGAAGGCGCCCTCGGAAAAAATGGTGGTACTCAAGCGTGTTTTACTTTTAGAGTAAGGCATTTAACAGCTTCGACGTCGGTCTGGTGTTGATGACCTGGTTTGTTAACCCGCTCGAGTTTCTTCTCTTGCTGTTCTGCAAGCGGCCTTGGGAGCGCCCTTGCCCATAGTTAAGATGGCCGCAGCCACCTCGGTGCCCGCGGTCGGGCGGGTGAAAGGTGAAGCTGGGCTGCGTGAGCGCCAGCGGCGGCGGCAAAGGGTCTAGCAGAGCGGGAAACGGCCAGCGTTCAGGGAGGCACTGGCCAGACGTCCACTTCCCAATACCCACAAGAAGGCTAACTGAGGGACCGGCCTTAAAAAATTAGGTTGTTTTTTTTCTCCAAACCAATTCATTTTTCAATTTTTTTTTCACTTACAAGGTATAGAATAATACTCTCTCCTCCCAACCTAATCCTCACTTAACAATTTCCTAAATATTCCTCTTGAGGATGTCTTTTTGTGTGTGTGTATATATATAACGTGTGTGTGTGTGTCTGTCATCTATATCTGGTATTTCCAACATTTACTTTATCTTTAACTGAGGACAGGGCGGAATGCCTTTCTGCCTCAGAGTTCAGTTATTTCACAGATGAGGAAACCAAGGCCCAGCTGTTGCTCAGTGTCAGGCAGCCCATTAGTGATTGCGGGTCTTCAGACTCCTAAATGCCAGCCTTTCCACCACCTCATCTTGCCTCCTCCAGGCCTGTTCCAGAAAAGCAACATGAATATATATAAATTTGTTTTGTGTGTGTGTGTGTGTGTGTGTGTTTTGTGGTACGTGCCCCTAGCGGGAACCGAACCTGGGACTCTCTGGTCCGAAGGCTGACGCTCAACCGCTGAGCCAAACTGGCCAGGGCAACATGAATATTTTGAATTTACTGACCCCTGCTGACCTTGTGAAAGCAAACTAGATTCTTAATTTATTAAATTATGATTGCATTAACAATTTGATGAGTTACTGGATGGCAGGGCTCATTGTTTTAATGCTCCACTTAAACATGCCCCCTGATTTCCCAATTCCAAGCTCTCCTAACAGAATAATGGCAGACTATGAAAGAGCTGAATAAAGTTGGTTCTGTGATATGATGAAGACTAATAATCTTCACTTACCTTGATTGGTCACTTACTATATGGCAGACTGTTCTAAGTGCTTTTGCTTGTTTAACTCATTTAACCCTCACCATACTTCAGAGATAGGTACCTTTCTGGATCAGGAGACTGAAGCAAGAGGGGTGAACTTGCCCTGAGCCACACAGCTAGTAAATGGTGACAACCCAGGCAGTTTGACTCCAGAACCCATGCTGTTTGAATGATTGAAGGCACAATCTCAACAACCAGAGAGGTGGGATTTTAGGCCTGGTTATCAAGTTGTATTGTGGGCTAGTGCAAGAAGCAAGAGCCTAGGAGGTCAGAAGAGCTGCTCTGGTCACACACACAATTCCATACTGCCATATAAATGTACAGAGAACATTTTTATTTTTATCTTATTTTCCTTTATTGATTTTTAGAGAGAGAGGAAGGGAGAGGGAGAGAGAGAAACATCTATGAGAGAGAACATCGATTGACCACCTCCTGCATGTCCCCTGCTGTGCATTGGGCCCACAACCTGGGCATGTGCCCTGAGAATCGAACTGGTGACCTCTTGGAACATGGGTCAACACTCAACCACTGAGCCACACTGGCCAGGCCAGAGTGGGTTTTTAAAATGCAAATAGAGCCCTGGCCAGTGTGGCCCAACGGTTAGAGCGTCGGCCTGCGGTCCTGAGAGACCCGGGTTCAGTTCCCACTAAGGG